TCGCCCTTAGAAGAAGACACCGTCAGGACTAGGCATGTCTGTAGAGGTGTAACTGAAAACAGCCCAACGTTTTTAGTGTCCACATAAATTTCTAGTGCCTTCAGCTTGGTGCACTTTGTGTATTTTACAGTGAAAGAGCACCTCTTTGTAGCCTGAAGCTGCTAAGATAAGAACTCCTTCACTCTTTCCACTAACTCTTATTGATTTCTTAGATTTTCACAAGGCTGGGTATTGAGAACTTATTCAGAATTGGAAACGGTTCACAATTTATACAAACCAGGAATTTAAGAATTGTGCTTTTTGATGTTCCTTATCCCGTTCCTAAAAGCTGGACCTACTACACTACCTTAAACCCACCTCTGCTGCACACGTGTCAGTTATGATGGTTGTCCAGACTGCAGTGAAGGCTTCTACATACCCTCAGCTCACTGTGGCTGCAGCTTTGTTTGGAGTTGCTCCCTGAAATATGTACAACTGATCCAGATACAAAAAGTGCAGAACAATTTCCTGATCTTTATTTACACCTGTTTTGATACAGTTAAGTAGGCTAACAGCTAGTCCGGGCTAAAGAAACCTGTCGCTACTTCACAATAAAAGCCTCACAAAGATTGCAAAACAGCAAGTAGCAGAGGTTATAAATGGGAGCTTATAAATTGTGGGTGCCATATTGTTAAATGACTCTTCATTTCAGCCCAAATCTGAATAAAGGCAGTTTTTGCTGTTGTTTCGATTAACAGAATATGTTGAGAACCAAAAACTGTTTCGCAAAGTCAGAATTGAGAATGGTTGGGAATGTAAATGTCACCCAACTGAAATACCTGCCATCCTGTCTGAAGGTATTGTTACTGTCGCCTGTCATTATGTAATCTGTCTGTCAACTGTGACAAACGGTGTAAGAGAATGGCGAGCTCATGACGCTCTTCTTCTGTTACACTGAATAGTAGTTAAGCAAACTGCTGAGGTAGTGAAAGAGACTCCAAATTTGCACAATGGTCCTTCTCAGTTGTAAAATGTTGACTGTACACGCGTTACGGGGAGGAGAAGAACAGAGGATGTGTAAACTGTACATTTATGTGTAGTAATGATGTATGTGAGGACCCCACAGGAAGCCATTTCTGTTAAAAATTTAAGCCAGACATCTGAACAGGACACAGTGATCTTCTTAATGGAAGGGACTTGACGTAAAGATGCAAACGAGCATTCGGTCAGCTTCTTTAGATTGACTTTTTCTCCCTGTCTGCGTGTGTTTGGGCAGCAGGCGATGCAGCTCTGAATAGGAGCCATTGTGGTGTCTAATTAGTTTTTGACGGTGAGTCCTCCTCCAGGAGAACAGATGCCCTCTGCACAGTGTCAGATTTCAGCACACGCTATAAGCTTTTAAGAACGGCTAAAGTCATTATGTAGGAGGTAGGCCTATTGGTTCCGATCTCCAAATACAGCACAGTCTGACGATGGTATGGTGGTTGGAAAGAAACAGATTATTCTAAAGCCTATTCATCAGCTGCCATGCACTGAATCCATAAAGTGTACTGGTACTGGTAAAACAAAATGTTGAATAAATTAGTATTGTGCAGGTTTGAACATTAGACTGCCAATGTGTTGTGTAGAACAGCTGCGGTCCAATGGACTACCAGTGCCAGCAGCAGTTTACAGGGTAGATTATTTCCATTAACGAATGATTTGTCCATCATTTTCTCAATTAATCCATTAGTTGCTTGGTTCATGTTGATCACTGTTTCCCAAAAACCCAATATGACATACTCAAACAGCTTGTGTTGTCCACAACCCAAATACGTAAAATGTACAGGGCAAAAGAAACCAGAAAAAGCTTTTTGTCCACTCCAAATAATTTATAGATAAAAAAAGGTTATTTTATAATTGACAACTTGCGGATTAATCGACTAATTCTTGCAGCTCTACAGCAGGGAGGGTAGACATGACATGGTATGGAATGATGATGAATGTTAACATGTCCACTTAATCACATTTACCCTTATCAAGTATGCTGCATTTAGGAGTTTGTGTTACATTCCTGTCCTTACTATTGACATAACAGAGAGGAGTCTGACCGTTTCCTGATCTCCTTCCCTTCTGCAGCGTTTCCAGAGCCGCAGTGAAGTCTGTTCCTCTCCTGCAGTGTTTCTAACTCATCTGCCAACAAATAAAAGGCGTTGTCAAAAGATATTTTTTGCCCATATTAAGTTCTGCTTGCACATATCAGAATTAAGAGCCGAACAATAATTATCTTAGTTCTGCTCCTTTCCTTGGATTTAATTGCTACCGTCTAACTAAAATTAGTGTATTTTTCTGTTTTATAGTACAAACACATAATATTAAATATGGAACAAACTAGATTTACATTTTCTTTTGAAATTGGAAATCTGTTTAAAATGAACAGCTAATGTCTCCATACAATATCTGTATGTTATATTGTATTCAAACTACATTCAACAGAGGAAAAAAACTTATTACTGTATTGAATATTGACTCTTAGATGCCATTCCTGTACTCACTCCCAATCAGGCTCATTTCTTTATTGTTTTCTAATACCGTAATGAGTCTCTTGTCTTGGTGTGAAGGTACAGAGGTGCTGGGATGTTCTTCCCGGCTGAGGTTGGATGCAGAAAACTACGGCGCAGAGTACAGTTATCCCTGAAAAGCTTTAGCGTGTTCCTCTGTGTTTTGGTACACTGTTCCTTTAATAGGTTGGCACACATATTCGTGTACCCCCCCCTTAATCCCCTCCCCTGTTCGAAGGCTTACAGAGCAGCTCAGTCCACTTCTAACCAGCATGTCGCTCATCTACACTTGCTGAGCCGTACGCCAGTTTCCCCTGCTGCAGGGAGAAATAGGATCAGGCTTGAATGCCCATGGCTGCGTTTGCATGTGTACGAGCTTATGATTCTACTGTATTCAATCTGCATATTTAGGATTTATGTATATTTGGGGATTAAACTGTTAAATGTATTGAGCAAACGAACACTCAAATTTGAAGCTTGATGTCTTTACTCGTCTCGACTCCTTCAAAAGCACACAGCATGATTGAGGAAGACAATATAATAAGGGTGGTGTTTATTTCTGGCCTGTTGTATTAAATTGTTCCATATTTATCTACATTTTATTATCTTTATGTTTATATGGTGGCTGTATTATCCCATATATGTAAGTGGCTGCATCATTTAGTAAGACTGTGTCTAATATTATAGTACTTTGTGCATGTGCAGTTTTTTTTAACCATGTAGCGCACTAATGTTCTTTTGGGAAGTTATTGCTCTTATTCAGTATAATGAATACAATCATTTTAGAGCAGTAAATAAAAGTCTGCAGCAACGGTGCTGTGGATAATTTATAACGTTTAATAACTAATTTCTTTGCATCGAGGCCCTGGGTTTGATAGCCAGTGAGCCTTTTTTGTGTGCTTCACTATGGGTTGATTAACGGCACTAAATCCTTCAACCGCACTTCCAGCATAAAAGTCTGCAAGCACCAAATGGTCCTATTTGTTTCTACTAAATATGATTGTGGCTATGTTCAGGAACATTAGGGAGACAGAGGAGGGTCGTAAATGGCGGATGGAGGCATAGAGAAAGCTTAAGGTTGCTGTACAACTCAACCTCAGCGTCTGCTCTGGAATGTAGGAAGTAAGCCACTCTGTAATTAGCCCTGGGCCCGCCTCTTACGCTCTCTGATTGGCCAGCAGACAGTGGAGCCCTTGGTCGTAGCCAATAGGAAACTCCCACTTACTCCTTTAGAGTCTGTGCCAGTCGCTGGAAAAGCTCAGAGGCTGGAGTGAAGAGAAGAGAGAATAGTTGTGGTAGTGACTGAAAAGAACGATCAGTTCCAGCAACACCCCCCCCGGCCCTACACACACACACACACACACACACACACACACACACACAACACACACACACACACACACACACACACACACACACACACACACACACCTCCCACCCTCGGAAACGTTGCAAGAAGGCCTCGCCACTCAGGGTGCCTGTGCTAGTTTTCGAAGGGCAAAAAATCAGGATGGCACATTCTTTAGGTCCAACCATGCATGTAATCCCTAAAAGCAAGTGTGTGTGTGTGTGTGTGTGTGTGTGTGTGTGTGTGTGTGTGTGTGTGTGTGTGTGTGTGTGTGTGTGTGTGTGTGTGTGTGTGTGTGTGTGTGTGTGTGTGTGTGTGTGTGTGTGTGTGTGTGTGTGTGTACAACTGCATTTGTTTGAAGGGAACCTTTAGAAAGATGTGAGTAATGTGAGGTCTGTTCTGAGAGTGGAGTGGCAGTATATTGAATTCCCAGATTTCTGACCAACTTATCTTTCTTTTCTCTTCTTCCAGTTTGTGTGTTACTGTATATTTTCTACTGTCTGATATTGTCCTCAGGACCGAATCGAAAATAACATTATAATAATAATAATAAATAATATATAAAATAACAGCTAATGGTAAAGGGAAAAGGAGTAAAAGCAGAGTAACACTGACGCAGAGGAAAGCGACTGGTATCTTTACCCAAGCAGTGAACAACTCTTGAAGCAACATGAGCTTCAAAGTCTGATCTGGTCTGGACCAGTAAACAATGCTAATGATGCTAAACTTGCTATATTTATCATCCCATATTGCTGAAAATGTCCTATTTTAAACCCCAACCTGCTCTTGTTTGAGGATGCGATTAGAGTAGGTGGAGAGCAGCAACCTTTAGTATATTGTACGGGTTGTTACTAGGATCAGATAAAGCCGGTAGCCATGGTGGCAGAGTTACAGCTGGCCATTCAAAAAACAGAACACATACGCTGCTTGCTGTCTCACTGTACCTTTTTAGCAACAGATGTTAGACTGCTGCAGTGGATTTAGAGAACTTTTAAATATGCTAGCTCTCTGCCTCCACATCACCATCAGTTTTTTTTTTTTAATCGTTGTCAAGCACAGAAAGAGCCGAAAGAGAAAACTGAGCTTAGTAAGTAGCGGTTACATGTTACTGTATTTGCACATTTCTATTCTAGGAGTTTGCTGCACTAACAAAGGAGGTGAACGTGTGCCGGGAGCAGCTTCTGGAGAAGGAGGAGGAGATTGCAGAGCTGAAGGCGGAGAGAAACAACACGCGGGTTAGTATAATGTGCTGCTTCTCACACGCACACACACACACACACACATTGTCAATCTTTTAGGACAAACAGTCTCTCAACAAAGTAGTATTACACATCCACTTTCCACCATTGATGAAGAAAGTTAAGTTGCACCCTCATCTGTAAAATCCCTGTCAAATTCCTGTGTGATTCTGTTTTGGATATAGATGGTTGTCATAACACTGGTTGACAAATCAGCTTCTATCCTATAATCCAAACCATTGTCACAAGTTGTGGGCGTTGCAAATTGCACAATCATTAAAATATTTCAACCACTGACAATAAATTTCATTACAGACAGCTGTTTGTGCTGAGACCATACCTCCATGAGTGTGTTATCAGTCTGTACTGTCTCTGACCTGTTTACTCAGAATGGTGTAGTGAAAAGTGTTGGTTTGTCATGCAAGGCTAGTAATTGGAAAGTATTACTTATAGTTGGACATGGATTCAGCAGAGGATTAAACAGAGGAGAAGGTGGAGAAAACTTAAATTTAAAGAATGGAAACATTTTATATTGCATCAACCTACCTGAACACACCTCAGGTTTATGAATGCAGAAATAACATGTTTACAGCAATGCAACAGAACTAAACTAATCACAGTTTCCCCAAAGCACCAATAGAAACAACAGTTGTATGGTCGTTTATTGTGGTTGGAGAGGTTTCTCTGCACCACACATTCTTTACTTTGTCGCAAATGTGCATTTGCAGTTTTATCCTGATGGGTTTCTAACCTGCCAACACTGTCACTTTTGTGTGTCTAGCTCCTGTTGGAGCACTTGGAGTGCCTGGTGTCTCGCCATGAGCGTAGTCTGAGGATGACAGTGGTGAAGAGACAGGCTCAGTCTCCAGCAGGAGTCTCAAGTGAAGTGGAGGTCCTCAAAGCCCTTAAGTCACTTTTTGAACACCACAAAGCCCTCGATGAGAAGGTACGGCTGTGTGTCAGTGCTTGAAATGAGTGAATGAAGTGTGTGTGTGTGTGTGTAAATGTATATGTGTACTTGTTAACATATGCATTACAGATATTGGGATGGGGGAGAAGTTGGAACAGGTTTGTTTACATCTGTGTCACATATTTTCTAGGTGAGGGAGCGACTACGCGTTGCCTTGGAAAGATGCAGCGCGTTGGAGGAACAGCTCACCATCTCGCACAAAGAAGTAAGCAAACATAAAATGAAAATAACTGAAGAGAAAAAAAATGAATTGCAACCTCCAACTCCATACAACAATATCAATAAACCAGTTTACACTGCATTCACAGGATGTAGGATTATTACCTGAAACAACTTGATTAGCCTAAAGTAGTAGTACAATTTTTATTCTCAGCTTTTTTCATGCTTAGCTAATGTGCACCTGATGAAAGATACATTTAGGCTTAAATTTAACACCAAACTGAACATTGCCAACTCAACTGTGGAAAAAAATACAAAACAGATGGTTCCCACCGTTGTCTGTCTCTGTTACTGGGGCAGAATTTGTGCGTACGTGTATACTGGGAAGCTCAACAGAGTACGACCTGGTTGCCCCCATTTTTTAATTCTTTCAATAAAACAGGGTTATTGGTAGATTATATTTGAAACAGCAAGTCAAATATTCCAAATGCACTGATGTAAGGATTTTATTCAGGGTGTTGTTGTTGACAGGAATCTAAAGTGAATGTTTATTATCATGCGTTAGTGAAATGCAGGGACCCAAACTGATTGCATGCAAGATGTAGGAATGAAGAATGTGCTCCTTTGATTTATCTGTGCTTACACAAACTGATTGGAGAGACGGTCTGACATGTAGTTTTAATAAGCAGCTCTAGCTATGCTGTTATCTTGAAGCGCCATTCTACCGGACAGTACGTTCTGGCTGCGACAGCGCCGCCAGAGCTGATCGCAGCCGTTCTAATTCCTGTGATTCCTTTAGAAGCGACGCAGCGTGTTTTAGAAGCATCCCAGAAGCGCCTCTCCGCTCTGCTCCATGGAGAATACAAGCAACACCCTGTGCAGACTCCCAATCATAGGAAAACAGACTAAAGGGGAACAATTTAACTATGTAAAGTTAACTAGTTAGCCACTAGTTAGCAAAGTTAACAAAGTCTGGCAGGTTAAACACTCGTCTATAGAAACTCTCTGGTGGGGCATGAAGAAGCGTGGAGGATGGACCAGAACAGCGGCACAGACATGACGTCAGAGTGGGCCTGCTAGAATCAATGCCTTATACTAGATAATAGATATTCTAAAGAGGTTTTTACATCAGGAGGCGCTGGCAAACAAATTGACTCCCTTTTTAAAAACAAGTGATCAACAGATCAACTTAGCGTTTCTCCTGATGGCTCTGAATTGTACTTTGTTCCAGTCCTTATACATACATTGAGTAGTAATTTAACCCTGAATCTAAGAGAGATTCACCACTCTTACATACACATGTTCACATGAATGCAAAGGCAGGAAGAGGCTCTGGTCCACTGTGTCTTGAATGAGATTAAGATTGACAAAAGGCCCAGAGGATCTTGGGGAAGTGTCCTAGATTTCTTCCCTGCTTCATGCTACAGCTCTTCATGCTACGGTCATCTTTTGTTCCTTGGAATCAGCCTGGGACCACACACGCGCATGCACACCAGCACACACATAAAATCAACCGCTTGCCACTGCTTTTATTAGCAACCTTACTTCCTAAGGCAAGGCAGCTTTTTGCTGTTTTGTTTTCCTTCTTTTTGGCCATGTGGCAGAGAGTATATTACATACTGCAGCTGATTCATGGGAGTTTGCAACCAGAATAGTTGTGGTCTGAACTCAAGGCTCTGGGCATTCAGAGCTGCTAGCTACACTTCTTTGTATGTCTCTCCCACACACACACACACACACACACAGACACACACACACACACACACACACACACACACACACACACACACACACACACACACACACACACACACACACACACACACTCACTCACACACAGACACACAGTACTTGCTTTAGTGAGAAAAAATAACATCACAAATGATAAAAGGAAGCACACTAGTTTAGTTCTTTTGGGTAAGTGGTTAACCAGATAAGTGTTTAGATGGTTATCACCAGCAAATGAATGACTGGCAAAGGTGTTAACAAACTGGTGATTTCTCTAGCTGGCTTACCTCAGGGAGCAGAACAGCCAGAAGAGAGGGCTGGCAGATGGAACCAGCGAGGTCAACCACAACTCTGAAAACACACCAAGCACTAATGGCAAGGTGAGGTTACTCAGCAGCATATGTGAAATGTGAAAGCCAAGCGGGTGACAAGGCCGCAGTTGCTTGTGTGTGACAAATGTCTGGCATCTGTTCAGTTGATGATATAAGACTAATTACGAAAACACAATTACAAATTGTTTATGCAAATAAGGATAAGCTTTAACTCTACAGGTTAATAATGTAAACATGCATTGGTGTGTTAGTGGACGTTGTATTCCTTCTCTTTTTCTATTTATTGAGATAATGTGAACATTTCTGTCCTGGCATACAAAGATAAGCTGTACTATGCCTTGCCATCTACGTACACGCACGGACAAGATGCAAATAGTGGAATAGGTGGGCAGGCTGGAAACAGACCAGGTTACTGCTGACAGCTTGTTCTGCAGTATGTCTCGGCTTAAAATAATACTCTGACATCAATTCATCAGTGCTTAAGGAGCAGCTGGTATAGAGTAAGTGTGAGATTCTAATTCATAGTATGACTCACATTATCATCATGTGTAATAAGAGGTTTGATCCAAATGTAAAATGACAACAAACTTAACAGGTAAACTGTAATTTATGTGAATGTTTTGTCTTTCAAACGCGGAGTCAGAGCGTTTGATGTAATGTTATGGATTGATCAGAGTAAAATCAGCAACCAGAGTGGCACAAACGACGACATCACATATATTAATGTCCAAAGTTAACTCTTTGGACTCTTTTTTTTGTCTATTTAGTTGATGTTTGGGGAACATATACATACCGTATACACTATGAAGAAACCTCTTTTAAAGCTTGCTTTGCTGCCTCCCAAATTCCAGTTTCTTCCATTTTACTTCAGTGTTTTCGTGTTAATCTTTTGAGTCCTACGTGTGTGTTCTGTACATCTTGTGTGCACTTGCTAAAACAGTTCTGTTAATTGACCCGCAGCGGTCATCGGATGGTTCGCTGAGTCAGGAGGAGGAGTCGGGGCCTGTGTTCGGGAAGGTCGGTGAGCTCCAGGAGGTGGTGGACCGTCAGACGGCTGATCTGGGCCAGATGAAGGAGCGCATGGCTGCTATGGTTTCACGCATCAATGAGCTAGAGGAGGACCTGGACACGGCCCGAAAGGACCTCATCAAGTCCGAAGACATGAACACGCGGCTACAGAGAGACCTGAGAGAGGTAGTGAGGGATGGGGACTATTGGTAACCCTAACCCTGATTTTAAAAACATTCCTTTCAATGTTTTATGGCCCTGTTAGCGTCTTTCAACTGATGAAATCACCATACTTAAATGCATATAATGCTATATATGTACAGTGCACTGCAGAACAGTAGGTTCTGGTCACAAAGGCTGAGGACACTAATGCAAATTATGTTTGTTTAGTCAATGGCTCAGAAGGAAGACATGGAGGAGAGGATCACCACCTTGGAGAAGCGCTACCTGGCAGCTCAGCGGGAGGCTACCTCCGTCCACGACCTGAACGACAAGCTGGAGAATGAAGTGGCCAACAAGGATTCCCTCTTCAGACAAGTAGGCCCAAAGCTCTTTGATTAAACATATTCAAACTAACTGAGTGTAACTGCTGATTCAGAGTTACTGAAGCCTTTTAGTTTACTTGACTGATGCAGTCATGTTTTAGCCGTTAAGTTCCTGCATCATTTAACATCCCGTATCTCATCACAACCCTAACATCTCCATGTTATAATCTGACTTAGAGTAGATAAGACGTGTTGATTTTGAGTGTCAGAGTTGTCTTCCAGCAGGAATGGCCTGCAGTTCTCAAACCCCTGCTAATGAATTCTTGCTGTATTCACACAGTGACCAGCACAGCAGGCAGTGAATGAGAAGCCTCAAAGACACTGGCTTGTTTCTTTACATGTACTCACTGAGATGGAGACATCTCTCTCTCCTCTTTTCTTGTGGGTTTTGTCTGTCTTTGTGTCATTATGAATGCTCTCTTCCTCACTTCCTGCCTACCCCACCCTTACTTATCCCCTCTCTCTTTATTCTCCCTCCCTCTCCCTCTCTCTCTCTGACCTACAGTCTTATTTCTTGCCACTCTCTTCACCTTGAACTGAGAACTAACCCTAAGGCCAGGATGTAGCACAGACAAGTCTTTAACATGCTTGCTAATGACTGTTTGCTCTTGGTTTGTTTGTTGTAGACCGAGGACAGAAACCGGCAACTCCAAGAGAAGCTGGAGCTGGCTGAGCAGAAGCTGCAGCAGACCATCCGCAAGGCAGAGACTCTGCCTGAGGTGGAAGCAGAGCTAGCCCAAAGAGTAGCTGCCCTCACAAAGGTACTAGCACCGGCCTGTGTACCTCTCAACCAACCTTTTTTTTTAACTTCTTTTTATGGTCGAGTAATATTGAACATTTCTGCATTAAAGTGTCTAAAAAAGACTCGATGGAACATAGTCCATATTATGTTGAGTTGTGTACTTTTAATCCCATTGTTTTCAGCAACGGTGCATTTCTTCTTACCTCTAGTTGCTATAACTTCCTGTTTACACGGCGGCAGGAGTGCGAGGAAGTCACATCAGATAGATTTCAATTGGCAATGGTGATTTTAAAATAAGAGAGACCCCTAATTTACATATTATACATTTAATGAAATGCTAACCAGCATTCTCACATGTTGATTAGTAATGTCAGTGGGGTAGAAGTAATCAGAGGCCTTAGACAAATAGAAGATTCAATCAAAGGGTCAGAATTTTCTATCTGTTGAGGTAAATGAGTTAATATGAACTAACTAAAAACTGCATTCATCTAACTGATCCAAACCTAAACATACAGTAGGCACCAGCACACATAACGTCACCAGGACGTTACCTCAGTTCCTTTACATTGCAACGACTGGGAGCTCTCGCGGAAACTTCTGTGGAAGCCATTGTTTATGTTACTTCAAATATCCACAGGGACCTATTTTTAGAGATTTGGCTCATGTTTTTGTCCATTTATAGTTTGAATCTTTGTCCTGGACAACACATGCTGCTGCTGCGCAGGCTATTTAGCACCTTATTAGTATCAGAACTGGCTCACAGTACATCTCTGAAGTTTAAGTTAGCATTCATTCTTATTCTCATCTGACGCTTTTGTAGTTTATCAAGCAGATGCCGGTGTCTCTTTTTACATCTTTTGAGTGATTACTTCAGTACTTAGTTTTGTCTATTTACTCTGTTCTAGAACGACACACACACTTTCCATATTTGCACAAAAAGGAAAACCAGAACAGAAGAAACAGATTAAACTCTGCAGAGGACATGGACATACAAAGCAGTGTGAACTTTTTTGGCTAATCATAGTTTTCATCAACTTAATTTTTGCAACGACAAAAACTAATAAAAAAACATATTTATGATGACAAAAACAAAGATACTATTATTATTAGTATTTTTGTTTTTGTCATGTTTGTAGAGGTTTTTGTCATCTAAACTGTTTCCTCCATGCAGTTTTAATTATCCTGACTCTTTCTAGAGCTTAAGCCACATATTTGTTATATGGAACATGGCAGAGAGACAGATGGAGAAGAAATACCTCGGTATTTCTTTAATATTGCCCCCATGCAGTTCCAACACACCTACTTAAATCATCCATTCTTTTCTCCACCCTCTCATACTTGGAGGAGCTTGTAGCACAATTATCAGTCTATGTTCAGTCTAATATAAGATCCCTCATTGTACTATTACTCACACACTATAACACACTATGTCATCTGTTTGTCTACCCTCTTCTGTCTTCAAGTCTAGAAATTGAAGTGACAGTCATTAAAGTCACTTTGTGTTGCTGAATCTACAGCATCTGTCCATTTTCTCCCTCCAAACACTTTAATTGTGCTAAAGTTCAGATTAAAAGCAAACCATGTTTTCTCCTCTTTCTCATTTCTTTCTGTCTGTCTGTCATGGTCTGTTTTTGTGTGGTCTTCACGCTGCCCGTACCACCTCCTTGTCTAACCCCTAGTGTGTTCTGTGTGGCTCTAAAGGCGCTAAGACTCAGAAGAAGGTAGATCAGCTTCACTCACAGAGCTTAACCCGTTCAACCCGTCCTCCTGGATACTGAAACACTCTCAGTTCAGTTCTGTTACTGAACTTAACCAGGCCAATAGAAACTAATGGTACTATTTATTTAATTTTTACATAACTACTGTAAAACAATGATTGTATATTTCTTAAAATAGTAAAACATTACAAACAAAACTCACCAACATCTCTGACATCAGTTGTAGTGTGTGCCTGGTTAAGAGCAGTTTCAGATTATATATCAAACTGCTGTGATATCTTATTGAGCCTGAAACCTGGTGGCCCTGACATGACCTTCCCCTGTACGCCTGTGTGTTTGTGCTTTATGTGCTAGTGAGCTGTGTTGCTCAGGCCGTCATGCTGGTACTTCTCCTCTTTTCTCAAACAGAAAACCCTAATGTTTGGTGTCTAACACAAACAGGAAGTGCCAGCTGATCTGCTCAAAGGAGACCCTGCCCATTAGAGCTACTGAGAACTGGAACAGGCTGTACCACAGAAAGATGTTTACCAGTCTATTGGTCCTTATGTAATTAAGAGCCAACAGACTGATGATATCTGCTATTAAACACTGGATATATTTTTCAACATGGCTAATTACAGATGAAATATTGAATTAAAGGGTAACCTCTGTATTTTTTCAACCTTATTTCCCCATGTTTGTTTCCATGTCAAAGTGAGTAACAGAAATATCAGTTGTTGAATTTGGTCCACTATTTAGTGAGAGCACTGAAAGAACCACGAAACGGGTTACAGTGTGATCCTGTGGGCCAATGTGCGTTGTCTAAGTACGCCCACTAAAAGTGCTTGTTTTTGCCACTGACGGACTCAGATAAGTGTCTGACAACATCATGGAAAGATCCCAGAAAGATTGCAGCACTCTCGCTCAATAATGGACCAATTTCATAAATTGTTGTCCCCATTAGTCAGTTAGACACAATGACACTGGAAACAAAAGTTTAGGTTAAAAAATGTCAAAGTTACCCTTTAACCATTGTTTGAGCCCGTAATCATTATTCCCATAAACATGCCTGTGGTCCTTGGTAGAGCCGTGATGATTGTGTGGTAGATTTGCATTATGGGAAGTATTGGCTGCTGTCGTGCCGCTTTGTTGTCCTCTCCTAATGCAGCTGCTGCATGATTCTCCAACCTCTAGCTGTAACTCGTAGGCGCTTGCTTCCCAGGCTGTTCGTGTTGGTGGCCCCATCCTTCTGAAGGATTTGGACTTTGCACCCAAAACCTCAAACAGGGCCAAGCTTAGGCCTTTTCTCAGCGAGGTCCTTCTCCAGAATGGATGACAAAGCACTCTAGGAGAAATCAAAGCCCAGCACTAGAGACACTCATTAGCTCTGAGAGGATGAATGAACTGAGACACTTGGATAGCTTAATACAGAAAAGATGAAGGGTTTTGTTATTGTTCCCCATTTTTAGGCAGAGGAACGCCACGGCAATGTGGAGGAGAGACTGAAGCAGCTGGAGGCCCAGCTGGAGGAGAAGAACCAGGAACTGCTCAGGGTGAGAACAGGGACCGCTACACGAGGCCTTTTCCTCGCAGCTTTATTGCTGTAGTCTTGACGTGTACCTTTTTAAAAATGTTGTTTTTCTGTTTGTATAGGCACGACAGCGAGAGAAGATGAATGAGGAGCACAACAAGCGTCTGTCAGAGACGGTGGACAAGCTCCTTTCAGAGTCCAACGAGAGACTCCAGCTTCACCTCAAAGAGAGGATGTCTGCTCTGGAGGATAAGGTGAATAATTCATACATGTGATCAGTGGTGCAGTGAAGATTTATAGTTGGAAGTTGGCTAGCAAAGAGGCAGGCACTGAATTCTTCTCTGTGATAAATATTTGTGGTTCGTCTACTGTGTGTGTCCCATGACTAGTTGGTAATTACATCATATGATGGTGCATGGTTAGTAGCTCAGTCATTGTTTATTTGCCAGTGTGTCAGTTTATTTCTCTCTCCTCAGAATGCCCTCATAAGAGAACTGGAGCACACCAAGAAGTTGATTGAGGAGTCTCACCATGAGAAGGTGAGGCATCATTTAGTCCCGCCCTGATTCTGTGTGTTTGGGGAGAATTTGGGATTCCTGTAAGGTGTTTTTATTATTTTAAACACAAGCAATGATGGTGTTTTTCTTTTAGTGCTTCAGACTTTGTATCTCCACCAAGTTCTCACTATATCTGTAAATGTCCTCTCCTATAGGAGCAGCTCCTGATCCAGATTGAGACCATGAGGGCAGAGAACGAGCAGGGTAGAAGCAGGAGTAACTCCTTACTGCATGGGTAAGCCAGTTAACTGGTAGAGTTCAGTTTTAACCCCTGACCCCTCAGAGTCTTTCTGATTGATTTTTTTTTAATGTGCTTTTCCAGTCGGTCTCAGCTGGGCAGCACTCCAGATTTCAGGTATCCAGTGTCGGCTTCCTCAATGATGGACAGTAACTCAGACCATTATGGCAGCGCTCTTGTGCTGAGACGGCCTCAAAAAGGACGGATGGCAGCGCTCCGGGACGAGCCATCCAAGGTGAGCCCCCAGGTCATCTGATGTTTACTTGTTTATTAATTGTTTAAACACTAGGGTTGGGTAGCGAAGTTAACATTCAGCAGCAACTGTCTCTACGTGGCTCTGGCAGCAGGTAGCCTACCGTTAGCTAGCTAGCTGCGTTTAAAGAGGGGAAAACATCTGGAAACGAACAGAACACACTTGAAAGCAGAGGGATGCACTGTACTCGACCCATGATGCTGAGCAGATCTGAGCAGTGTAGGTGTCCCTGGCCTCAGTAACGTATCTCTGATGGGTAAATTATGGATGATGATGATGACAGCTTAGCAAATGTAATGTAATATATAGCTAATGCTAATGTTTCTGCTAAAGTATTGCTGACGTTTGATGCTGGAGATTGTAGAATACTGAGAATATCTGGTATTTAGTGTTAAATTACTGTTTTTTTTATTAGTTTGCCTTAACAATAAAAAGAAAAACCTTCTTTAAAAAGTAATTTTATCACCGGTTTCAGAAAAAACTAAACGATACCCAACCCTAAGTGATTTTCGTGTTGTCTTCCTCATAACACGTGTTCTTCGTATCGTGTGCCTTTTTCCTTCCTCTACCTGTTTCAGTCTAATGTTTGAGTTCTGTCTGATGATTTTCTTCTTCTCCATTTCTTTCTGTTTGCTTCCACAATGGACATCAGCGACATGTAAGTCAGTGTGGTGGAGATGACAGTGACAGTTTATGTGTGGTGCATTAATGACAAATACATTATAAATGCAGCTAACCTCTCTCTATCTCTCTGTTGCTTTCTGTGTCTGTTTTATCCTTCTCTCCCTACGATATCCTTATTCTACTTTCAATGTCCGCTTTCTGTGTCTGAATACTCTTGGTATCTTTATCTCTCCCTCCATTTTCTCTCCATTCCCTGTTTTGTTCCTGTATGGATTCATTCAGGTGCAGACTTTGAATGAGCAGGAGTGGGAGCGCATGCAGCAGGCCAACGTGCTGGCAAATGTTGCTCAGGCCTTTGAGAGTGACATGGATGCTTCAGACTTGGAGGAGGACCGAGAGACGATTTTCAGCTCGGTGGACCTGCTGTCCCCTGGTGGCCAGGCTGACGCACAGACCCTCGCCTTAATGCTGCAGGAGCAGCTGGATGCTATCAACAATGAAATCAGGTACCAGCAGCTGCATAGCCACCAAACACCAAAACCATGCCTCATGTTTTTAATCAGAAACTTTAATTTAAATTCACCACCTCCCCCCCTCCTTTTATCGCTGCAGAATGATCCAGGAGGAGAAGGAGAGCACAGCCATCCGGGCAGAGGAGATTGAGTGCCGGGTGGGCAGCGGCGATAGCCTGGGAGGACGTTTCCGCTCAATGAGCTCCATCCCTCCGTCACTGTGTGCGGGCTCCTCGTTGGGCGGCTCACCCCCAGGCTCCGGCCACTCCACGCCCAGACGCGTTCCCCGCAGCCCCAACAGAGAACTGGACCGAATGGGTGTCATGACCTTGGTAACACTTCCTTTACTTGAATAAGTTGGTCAGACAGGATCATACGAGTGCATTAATGCCTCAGGAAACACTAGCACTGATTCCTGTCATTACAAAAGTCCAATAAGTCATAATTGTAGTTTCAGTTGTAATTATTTTCAGGTTGGTGTTTTGGTTTGTTGTCGTCTTGTAGTTTTAGATCTAACAGTTTATGTTCTTCCGTATATATTATAACTTGCTTGTCTCCACTTTGAATATGTGTTTTTATGCTGTCTCCTCTCACCAGTGTGATTAGTGCACTAACATTTTATTTTGCGTGGATGCATGAGAGTATGTAACCATGTGTATATGTAACTGCCCCGCTGCCCGTAGCATTATTGCTATGACCCCTACATCATCCAGAGCTCCCTCTCCCAGCAGACAGTAACTTACCTGCCCTATGGTGCAACTGGCTTCAGTCCTCCCCCTCAAGCCTATAGCTGTGCACCATACTTTCAGGTACCGCTAGATCTCTCCACAGCTCCCTTCCTCATCTCCTTGGATGGGTGCAGTCGTCCTCCTCCTCCTCCTCCTCCTCTCTTTTCTTTTCTGTTCCTTGTTTCCTCTCAAGATACACACAGGACATTTAAAAGCCTTTTTCCCCCCATTGTGTGCTAAATGCTTAACTTTGCTCCTAGAATAAATGTGAATATCATTTTTTGGGGAAGAAAGAGCTTGTTTATGAAACTAGAAACCAAACTGCAACTAAATCAGGTGACTTCTAATAGAATAGATAAATAGATGAAGAAACATAAGACTTCAGCCTCAGAGGGGTGTTATAGCACATTGAGGTCAGCTCTTCGTTAACATACAGACACCTCTTGCTCATTAAACCTGTCTAGTTGGCATTTAAAAGAGCTGTAGGTTCATCCAGGATTAGGATGGGACCAGATACGATATTATCGCACATAGTGAATTGGGATAATTGTGAATATCCTCACATGGCTTGATTTGGAAAAAGCTCTCTAGCTTGCAGCATGCACTCCTATATTGTTTTCCTGATTTAATTTGGAGGGGATTTTAAGGGGGAGCCCACATCTTTCATAATCATCATGAGTTTCCTATCTGTGATGCAATAAATAAATAAATGTGAAGGGATTCCAGTATGTTTTAGTGCCATTTTTAAAACTATGAAGTATATTTTCATGATTATCATGATAATATATTGTGTATGGCCAAGATAACCGTGAACATTTTCATATAGTCCAATGCCTTTCCAGGATTAATGTACAAGATTTTGGCATAGGAAGCGTTCTGGTTTTTGGGCGGGCTTTGGTAGCAAACAGTCTGTGTTGAGAGCAAAAGAGGTGGAAGGCATTGGCTAAAATCTCCTAACCCATCAGCTGTTGTCTGACGACATTTCATGTGCAGATATTTGGTTATAGAGGGGAGCTGAAATGTGACATTTTTTGTCGTTCTCTAATCGGACTGGCCCAGATATCCGTTGTTTGTTTTGTGGATATCTGTTGGTTACACTAAAAGCCCGTAAACACTGGCTGTTGCCAGCTCCATTGATCTGGGATAGACTTTGTTGTGAAAAGTTCTTCACAGGAGGTTTGTTGGGATGCAGCGAGACAAAAACAGGCGTAAACCTTGAAGAAAGAATCTCATCATGTGGTTCATTTGAGCTCTGTGTGAAATTCAGATAATACCCCATGAACAAAAGCACAGATGACCGTCAGTGCTCTTTTATCAATATTCTAGATACATGTGAGTATTTGAACAATGAGTTGAAAGGGACACACCTCTTTCTGGTGACCAGAATTTGCTTTTATGGCTGATACTGGCAGAACAAAAACATTGTTGTTTTGGTTCAGAAACTGGAGTGCACACACCCCTTCTGCACCTGTGAGCTCCTCCTGCTCACCTGTGGACCTCTGATGCTGTAGTCTGTGCACAGGGCTCCCTTTGCTTTGTTTTTGGCCACAGGTCTGTGTAACAGACTGCTACTGCTTTCATTATTCTATGTTTGGTAATGTTGTCTCTTGGAGCTTGCTGCACAGTCACTGTGCTATGCTGGATTTACAACATTTACTGCAACTCACAGAGCCTTGTTTCAGCAGTACCACACAACTGAGACTGTTTACTTATGGAAATGACTCTTCTGTTACTGTAGGTCCAGCTCAGAGGCTTGCAGTCTTGTAAACGCCTTCCCTGTAGCTGCAATTCTTTGAACACCGTTGAATTTCAAAACATAACCATTAGTGGGGGTGGAAATGTTGGTTCCAGGGAGCTACAATGTCACAGTGTCACTGGAGCTGGAGTGTTACTCATCATTCAGTCCTTTCAGGAATTTGTAATCGTACAATTTCAAGAATTAAGTCAAGCACAAGCTGTACCTGCATGTGTTCAGTCCCTGCATGATTTCTTTGAGAGAAAGGTCATATTTGTTGATGTTAAAAATAAAAAATGAAGTCATCATGCATTGGCTTGATTGCAGAGCGTTTTTTGTTTAATCCAACTGTTGTGGAACTATTGTAGTATAAAGCTGGCACGCTGTTCTGCTGAGAGTGAGTGATTTATACCCTCAATTAAGTCTATTGAACTAGGGCTGTAAAACATTAGACATGAACGGAGTACTGCTTTTAGTTTGGCAGATAATGTCTGAGAAACAACTGTCTGCCGCAACATAGTTTTTAATCTTTCCTTTGTAAAATATCACATCTGTCTTCAGAGCATCTGCAAAACTCATCAAAATGTCCTCCAATTCCTAAATAAGAAGATCCTAGAATAAAAGAAACATTTTGGGTGATTAAATTAATTTTCTGCTCACCCCCTCAATTTCCTCTTCCGGTTTCCCTTTTATAGCTCGCTAATCTCTTCCTTGCCCTGGCCTCGGTGTGTCAGTTGAGGAAAGGAAATGAGCGATTAGGTATTTTCCTCCTGGGGGCAAGAGAAACTTCCATAGAAATGTGGCACTCTGCTGGTTTATTTGCTCTGCTAATGCCAGGCGTGTGAGGAATGCAGTAGAGGAAAAGAAATCCTCCCCCTTTTTATAGATGCACAGTGGAAAATATGAGCAGAACAGCTCCGGTTCATAAATTCAGGTGTCACACTGCCTTTGACCAAGTGGGTAATATCACATAAACTGGCTCATAGCTTTATCGCCTGGGTTTTCAGCTCTCAGCCGCTAATCAGAAGTAATTTTGCTACCGATTTGTTCAACTATTCAAATAGATTTCACTATAAAGTTATAGTTATTAAGTGTGTACTTCCTCTGTCAGTTTCCTTGAGCTAGACTGCACCCATCCTTCCATCCTGAACCAACCTTCAGCGTGGTTGTTTTGCTGTGCCTCCTGCTCGGGTGCTGTGCTGCTCCTGCAGACCTCATTTTCCCAAGAACTACACGTCTTCACTGCACAAATTAAACTGACTCTCTCTCTCTGTGTGTGCGTGTGCCAAATATACATGGATCAATGTATATGTACTGTATGTTGGTTGATTTCCTGCTCCTGTGTGTTTGTGCATGGCTTTGTTCCGCCGCTGGTCTGTTGTGCGTCTCACTAACTGCTTTTTTTCTCCTCTCTCCTTTTTTGCCATGCTTCAGCCTAGTGACCTGCGCAAGCACCGCAGGAAGGTAAACTAGAGACCTGCTTTACTGGGCTCTGTCGGCTACTTGTCTGTTATCCTCACTCCCATCTTCTCCCAAACTTAGCGCCACCAATTCAACAGTGTCAATCTTTAGTTTCTCCATTCCATCCCACAATGTAACATCTGGTATGAATCGATCCTCCTGCATTCACTCTCAGAATCCCAAACATGTGGAGGTGTTGTTGTTCTCATTATGCACAGTGTCTTTCAGTGGCTTTATCTTTTCCACTACTATGGTGGTTAGCAAGTCACCTTGACAGTCTTCCAACGCTACATTTTTGTAGAGACAGAGGCAGTGTAGACTAAAGTGGAAATTAAAATACTGTAGATGTAACAAAAGGTGACCTGTTATCAGGAGGTCATGGGTCAGAGTTGAATGAATGAAAACATTGAAGTTCACCTATTAAGACCTTAAAGCAATACTACCAGTATGACTTTGGTACTTTAATATGCTTCTTGGTACCAAAACTTGAGATTAGCACAACATAATTCTAATTATTAAGGTCTATAATGCTGTAGTGAGTAGTCAGGTTGCTGGTTAGGAAAACGTAGCCGGATCAGATGTTATTTCCTGGTCAGTCCATCATTTGCGCCTTCATTTTTTCCTCTGAAATGAAATTGTCATTATTACTTTGATCCGATGTCTCTGTCTTTGCTCGCAGAGTTAATTCTTCTAGTTTTGGGAAACAGTGTTTGTGTCTTTTTAGCCGTTGTGTAAGCAGTAGTACAGCTACACTTACATTCTATAGTTATAGTTTATATGCATATCAATGTACATATGGACTGGCCACGATAATGAATGATTCACCTCAATAACATGCGTCTCTCCCACTGTTATGCAGTCTGCTCAGGATGACAAGGCCACTATCCGATGTGAGACGTCACCCCCCACCACTCCACGCTCCATGCGCCTAAACAGGGATGCAGGGCATGCTGCGAGCCATGAGGACATTAGAGACATTCGAGGGTAAGACTCCCGTCTGTTCCTGAAGAAAGAAATCATTTTCTTTCATCCCTCTATAATCTCTCCATCTAATCACTTAACTTTTGGTCCCGTAGTCTGGCTGGCCTGCAGGACGGCCAGGGTAGTAACCCCAGCAGTAGTAACAGCAGCCAGGACTCCCTCAACAAGGCAGCCAAGAAGAAGAGCATCAAGTCTTCCATCGGTCGCCTCTTTGGGAAGAAGGAGAAGGGCCGACCCAGCATTCCCGGCAAGGACTCCCCCAGCCAAGGTCAGACACTAGGAACAGGGTTTATGTAAATAAAGTTATTCCATGCTACCAGTATTGCTGTGTTCCTGGTCCTGTCAAATCTCTGAACAAGGTGTTTTTCTCTGTTGCTAGCTGGCACTCCGGAGGCAGAGAGCTCTCCTAAGGATGGCTTAGGGATGGGCACTCTGGGAGGCCCTGCAGAGAAGAACAGGAAGCTGCAGAAGAAGTAAGTGTCTTCCTAACAGTCCCCCCCCCAAGCTTCTGCTGTCTCCACCATTTATGTATACTGAGAAAACACATGTAAAGATGATGAGATAACCATGCTGCCATACAGGATGCCTATACTGTTACTGTACAATGTTAATGTAAAAGTCCATGAGTGTCACTGTGGGCTTGATGCTCCTGCTGCAGTCCAGAGCTGCGTCACACGCTCACTTCACGCCATCTGACCCACGCTCCCTCCAATCAGCTCGTCTTCCTTTCATTCCACACCCAGTCGTTTCCATTGCAGTCATCTCCCTCAGCTCTTTCATGTTTTCTTTCCTTTCATTCTTAGTTTAGTGCAAACATATTGCAACACCCTAAATGTTGTTTTGCTTCCATGTGGCTCTTAAATTAGCGTCAGTTCATTCTTTCTCTGTATTGTTTTGCCAACCTCCCTCTTCTTTTTTATCATCCCCGTCTCATTCCATGTGTAGTCCAAAGACCGGGTAAGTTGGTTCATATTGCTTTTGCTTTGCCTTATCTTCTTTCCACACTTGGCTTCACGTTGACCTCACCAGTAACTCTGAGGACCCCAAACAACTGTCCCTCCAAATGTCTGATGGCTTTTCCATGCTGCTCTTTACCCTGCTTTCCACAGAGGAGCTTAACTAACAGGAATGTGTGTGTGCTGACTTTTAGTGAGTGACACATTTTCCTATCGGAGCATGAAGTTATGCACTACAACTACAGGAAAGATGGTTAATGGAAGAATTTAAGAGAACAGTTGTCATTTTGTCTGTTTTCTGAAGTTTATTTCTATGATTTTTTTCAAACTTATGGAGACATATGTTTAAAGACATCATGTAATACACTTCAGCACCATCACTGTGAAGCTAATTTATTAGTTAAGCTTTTGGACATGTCTGTTAATCTTTTTATAATGGCAGATCTGCCAAACAGAGGAGGAGCTTGTTCTCTATCAGTGATCTGTGGCATACAGTCCCATCTAGTGGCCAAGTAGAACCACATTCTTTATTTTATAGCATCAGTCGAGCCTTGCTAGTGAATCAAAATAACTTTTAGAGAACTTGAATCAGAAGCTGCCCTCCAACATCCCCAGAAACCTCCAGGGACTGCATTGTCATTGTTCCTTCATTAAAAACTTAGAATGTGCATGAAGTGAATGTACAGAACTTAGAAAGTTGTTGCAAAGGTTTTCCTGCTCTAAATACTTCCCTCTGTGCATGTTATTCTACAGTTGTAGAGGAATGCATCCATACTAAAGTCATTTTCTAAGTGGACTCTCAAAGCACTGGTTCTGGGAGAAAACTCTGCTTACTAACTTCCTCAATCCTGAAGCCCTGGTGGTGACCTCCAGTCATCTCCCAGAGGCTTAACCAAAGACCCATCTGGTTAAACCTGGATAGTCGAGGCTTGAAAAATACTGAGGAGGTTTTTGACAAACACTGGTCTTTATGGGCCGGTGTTTTTTCTTAATACTTTTAAGTAATGACATTCTGTTGAAGGTTTTCCAGATGAGCATGTCTCTGTCTTCCTGGGTTTCAATTTCTTTGTTTTCTCTCAAACTCCTGCTCTCTGGTTTGAGTATGCATGTCGGTTCATGTCTTTGGGTTTGTGTACATGTGTGTTCCAAAGGGGAATTTGGTTGAGTGCATATTGGGAGTTTATGACGGGCTCTTTGGCTATATGTGTGTTTCTGGGCATGTGAACTCTTACTGCATATTGGCTTTAATATGTATTTTGTGTCTCAGGCATGAATTACTGGAGGAGGCTCGCAGGCAGGGCCTGCCATTCGCCCAATGGGACGGACCAACTGTCGTGGTTTGGCTGGAGGTACGACACAGACACAATCGATCTGATATTTATGTAGAATTTAAACAAGAGCTTAGACTGGAAAACCAAAAGTACGGACAGGCTATTTGTAAACTAGAGTGAACAACACCAGAATTCCTAAGGTCACTGGAATATATAAAGGGCTGGATAGAAACCAGGGGATCTGCAACCTCTGTAATAAAAATCGTTTTGAAGACAAGTATCATATTTTGTTTGAATGAAACACATTGAAAGCATCCTGGAAAGCCTGGAAATTTAGAAACTAGTTTTCCAGTCATGAAAACACCTGGAAATTAATTAAAATGAATATGTCCTGGAAAGAAATCTGTGTTTTCCTGGAAACACTGACCCATTGTGTTACTGTATGTTCTCCTTATGCTCCATACCATGTGATCATAGTCGCAGATCGAATAAATGAAACCCATTCAAACCAGTAGCACATCTATTAGCATTCATCCAGGTTAACTAATGGCACTGTCTCTCATCCTCCCCCCTCTGGCCAGCTGTGGGTGGGCATGCCGGCCTGGTACGTGGCTGCGTGCCGTGCCAACGTGAAGAGTGGAGCCATCATGTCGGCGCTGTCGGACACAGAGATCCAAAGGGAGATTGGTATCAGCAACCCGTTGCATCGCCTGAAGCTTCGCCTCGCCATCCAGGAAATCATGTCGCTCACCAGCCCGTCTGCCCCGCCGACCTCACGAACGGTACTTTTTCACCGGGTTCATGTGACGATAGAAACACACATACAGTACAGCACACAGCAGCTCTTTGTCACCTTCATACAAATGATATTGAGACACTCGTCCAGAGTCTTGATGATTCCTTTTAGCTCTGTGTCTACACATCTGATTGAGCATGACACTTTGACTGCATTAACATTTTAACTACTTATGTACTTAACATGTACTAATGATGGGATCAGACTGGTTTTCATTTGAGCTCGATTCTTTTGCTAACAGTGATAACAATAAATGAACAAACATTTTCTTGATCTTCTCTCCATCTTGCTCTCTTTCTGTCCTTCACCACTCCTGCCCTCTTTGCACACTTCTCTCACTCGTGATTGTGGGGTGTCAAATGATCAGACCACAGGAAACGTTTGGGTCACACATGAAGAAATGGAAAGTTTGGCAGCCACACCTCCCACGGTTAGTCTACCCTGATTGGCTGGACGATGGTGGCTTCTCGCTTCTGTGGTGACTGTCGAGGCTCGTTCCAAGTTGCCGTCAGGCCAGCCAGACCTCACTCATTGCATGCTTATATTAATATTTGACACTTCAGTATTCGTCTGGCTGCCTCACAAGGCAACTTGAAACAAGGCCTAATTCTTTCTGCTAGTTTGTAATTAGTCTTTCCTCCGTGTTGGTATTAGAAGTTTTCTCGTCTCTTCCTTTTTAGACCTTTTAGAAATACTGTAGTTAGTTTTGTTTTGTGTGTGTTTGTGTGTTGTATTGTTGCTTAGAAAGGAACACCTGCTGCTTGGTTTACAGCAGTTTTTATTTCGAGTGAGTGGTTGAGTCAGCCAGAACAAGGTATCTGAAATGGCAGAAGAACAAGAGAAAATCAATCTTCCTTTAGCTGTTTGTTTTAATATACCTGTTTCTGTTACAGTGCAGTGTATCAGGGTTGGGTTGATATAAGTATATACACTGAGACAATTCTATCTTACTGTTTATACCGAGGTAGCTTCTTGCTTTAATATCTATCATTGTATTGCACCGCTTTGGCCAGTCAGTGAGCCGGGCTGATTTAATATAATACTGAATTTGTAACCTAGATACAGTTTCTTATTTCTACTTTCATAAAATGTCTTATATTATGAGATATATTGGTAATAGTTTTAACCTATAATAGAGGATTTAATCCATATTGGTTATTGTTTTGTCACCATTTTTATTTCCTGTTTGTCTTGTCTTGCTTTTTGTTGTTTTACTTTGAATGATATTTTCCACGTTGAGCTGCTCTAACCCAGCACTGCTGCCTCACTAACCCCTCGCCTTTCTGTTCTTCTCACCATGCTCACTCTAACCATGCTAACACCAGGAGGATGACGAGGGTAGCTGGGCACAGGTTTGCACAAATTCCCCAGAAAATCCACCTATGCTCACCGCCTGAATTCACACTAACACTATCGTTTAGTCAGTGTTCTTTTTAAGTATCTTTATAAAGGAGATATCACAGATTTCTCTTTATTTTAAGATCACTTTGAACTTAGAGTGCCTTCACAAGCAGAATGTTTGGATTCATTCAGATTGTGCAGTTTTACCCTAAAGTCTCATTCATTTATACAGCAGAGGCACTTGAAATTGGATTCAAACACTGAATACTACTGTGGTTGTTACTGCAGGAAACAACCCAGAACATGATGTTTTAAGGACCTTTATGAACACCAGTTAATGTGAAGTACAGGAGAGAAAGGTTAATAATGCAAATAATACACCATTTACATAAATAACTAAGGAAAGCCTTTCCATTGTAGTTGAACCCCAAGAAACTGTAAAATAAAAGAAATTAGACAAATATTACAAAAAAATACTTAGTTTTAACAGTTGACCCCATCAGCCAAAGTCATGCACTTTAGATGGGAACTGGAGAGATCTTATAAGAAGATCCTCTGTTCCATACAATCCACACAAGTGGCCAGAGACAAAATTAAAAACAAGTAGAGACTGTATTTCTTGGGCGTGTGTTTCTTTGCTTTTTACTCAGTATGATGTATTTTGGTGCACCATTCACACCGTAGCTCACTGTTGCTTGACTTTTTAAAAGCAACTCAGTGGTTTCATCTAGTGGTTGTCTGGCTGAAGTGCAGTGAGGATGTTTGTAGACGCTTTGTGGTTACAGTGCAGGCGGTCAGGTTTCCTGTGCAAAACCCCAGATGGGCTTAGAAGATACGCAGGTCTAATATAAAGATGTAGCTCATTCAGTAAAAACCTTTTAACACTTTAATTGATTAAATGTTAAATAAACATTGTAGGCTCATTTAAATACATCTTCAGTAAGACATGTATATTTCCTTTTATCAAACTATTAGATTTTTAAACTATAAAATAATATAAAAACTAAGGAATGTTTTTGATGTTGATGTACTTGAAGAGATTATTTAATTGGAAATTGATTGTCGTAATAAAGCAGTTGTAGCAGATAAAATACCATATTTGCTCTAATATTTATTGTATATGAACAGTTGATGCTAAAACTGTCTACATATAGACTTAACTGAACAATCTGTGCAGCCTTTTAAAACCACAAATCAACAGTTCTGTCAGGACACAAAAAGTTAAGGACTTCCTAGACATCCGACATGTAAACTGGAAACAACTGGAAACAAAGACTGAGTGATGTGTAACTGAAAATACGATATTTTACGGCAGTTTATTTATAAAGCGTGTTTCATACATAAAGATTCAATGGGGCTGTACAAATAGTTAAAAACGAACAGCTCAAAGATAAAACGACACAACTCATAGTTAAGACAGCACAGTTCAAATCTAGAGATAAAAGAATTGAAATAAATAAATAAATATAGTTGTAAATTAGTGAGCTAGTTAACTGTATTTATGAAAAAAACAAAAACAGGCTTCTGTATGAAAAATGACAGATGTGAAAGAAAAAGTAGGAATTATTAGGACACTTTCCATCTTTTCAACACTCTCACAATCACTTGTTAAGCCATCTCCTCTCTGACCGTAGACTCTGGCATATGGAGACATGAACCACGAGTGGATCGGTAACGAGTGGCTGCCCAGCCTGGGTTTGCCGCAGTACCGCTCCTACTTCATGGAGTCCCTGGTGGACGCCCGCATGCTCGATCACCTCACCAAGAAGGACCTTAGGGGACAGCTCAAAATGGTGGATAGCTTCCACAGGTAAAACAAAGCAGTATTATCTGTTATTATTCACTACAATGTATTTCTTTGAGCTATAGAGCTCCATTCTTGTCCAAAAACTATTAAAGATAAAGCGGGGCCACACTAATGTGAAAAGACAGATTGTACTTGAATGTAACAAGGTCACAGCTAATGAGGAGCTAAATAAACAACTGTCTTTGTGTGTGTGTGTGTGTGTGCGCAATAGGAACAGCTTTCAGTGTGCGGTGATGTGTCTGAGGAGGCTCAACTATGACCGGAACGAGCTGGAGAGGAGAAGGGAAGATTCTCAAACGGAGCTTCGAGGTAACAAACATCCTGCTGGTTTATGAGCGTCACTAGAGTGTGGAGATTCAGTAAGACATGCCCACTCTGTTAAGTTATTATATATTATTTGTAAGGTTATATTTATGAAAGACACTCGCCACTGGATGTCGCACTAGAGCATCTCAGACCAAAACAATGGGACAGGAACAAAATAAAACTCAACAAAACCAACTTTGTTAGTCCTTCCAGCAATCACTCTGGTTCAAGCCGGATTTCTGTCTCTGCTCTACAGAAGTGATGGTGTGGAGTAACGAGCGTGTGGTCAGCTGGGTTCAGTCCATAGGACTCAAAGAGTACAGTGGAAACCTTTATGAGAGCGGAGTCCACGGAGCGCTGCTCGCCATGGACGAGACCTTCGATCACAACGCCCTGGCCCTGCTGCTGCAGATCCCCACGCAGAACACACAGGTACCACACAGCGCCTTCACCCGCTTACTGGAGCATCATGTGAGGGACAGGCAAAGGTCACGTGTGTAACAGGGAACAAAGTGATTCAGTGAATTTGAATATACTCCTTGAAAAATGCTTGATTTTTAAACATAATCTGTTTTTTCTTCGACGCAGTTACTCAGTAAAACTAAAATCTTTTTAATATTTAAAATAAAACGATCTTTGTTTGTCGTCTCCCGGGTGTTCACTCATCATTCATAGCTAGATAAGTCTTCTCTTGATCCCTTGCACTGGAAATTAAATAAAATAAATTGTTATTAAATGTGACCGTATACATTTATACAGGACAGACAGGAAGTGGACGCAAACAGCAGTGATTCTGTTCCCATTAAATATAGTAGATGGGCCGATTTTGATATTCTTGTCGGGGGGGGGAATGCATGTTTTATCATTTATCAGAATCAGATTATTCAATATATTGTTTGTGTAGTTTGAGAATAGAATAGTCGATTAAAGGATCGCTGCAGATTGCAAGCCAATCACTAAGCTTTGATCCACAGCGTGCACTATGTGAACGACCCAATTGGTTAACATTGGGGCCAAGAGGAAGTGGGCGGTGCTTCAGGGCGCGTCCATCTCCTCTGTGTCCCTGGTGTAAGACAGGATGTGATAAGAGACGTGGGTGCAGTTAGGTCATTGTTAGCATCAAAGCTAAATAGTGGAACGTACGGGTGCTGACGTGGCCATTAAAAGTCTGGGATGATGTTATCTCATGAGAAGGAGTCGGTTCCTTGTACTAGTGTGGAGTTCAGTGGGTGCTTTGAAATCAGTAACTGAGTTCAGTCTGTGCTTCTCCTCGTCTCTTTCCAGGCCAGAGCGACTCTGGAGCGTGAATACAGCGGTCTGCTGGCCATCGGCACAGAAAGGAGAATGGAAGAGGTGACAAGCACAGACGCACATAACACAGCTTCCAACACGGTAACACAAGCCTGCTCTCCATCACACAAATCTCTCCATCTCTCCGCCCTCCTCTAGGATGACGATAAGAACTTCCGCCGAGCTCCCTCATGGAGGAAGAAGTTCAGGCCCAAAGACATGAGGGGGATGTCCTTGGGTGCGTCCGACACCCTGCCTGCCAACTTCCGAGTGACCAGTAGCGGCGCGGCGTCTCCCTCCACGCAGCCAAAGAGGAGCCCGATGGACGGTAAGCAGAGGAGAGAGAGTGCCTGAGTGTGTGCACGTTGTTGGTGTGCGATGTCCTCTTTCATTGCTGCTCTGACGGGCCCCGAACCGGCCCAGATTCCCCGTGTACTCTCAGATCTTCTTGAATGGCTTTTGCTGCTTTGCTGTTTGTTGTATTATGCTGTGACTAATGGCACGTCTCTGCATGTGATTTTGCCAACATGGAAACACAGGAAGTCAGTCTATACAGAGGCTGGACACTGCCACAGTCAGGACCTACTCTTGTTAACACACAACGGTAAGAGCACACTCAGTATGGCTACCACCTCACTGCACCCACCCGCTCCTCGTCTCCAGCAGAAAGCAGCTGTCTTGTACCGCAGTTCTTGGCTCTAATGACGCACGTTGTACGCCTCTCCTCTTTCTCTCTGTTCCTCCCCCCCTCCACCCATCCCCGGCTTCTGTCCTGCTTCTCCTCTCGTCTCCGTTCATCTCTCTCTTCCCCCTTCTCAGTTTATCCTCATTATTTCTATAGGTAACCGCTGGTCAGAGGACGAAGGGGAGTTCCCCGCATTCAAGACCAGGATGATGAACTGAAATGAACTCGCAAGGACACTAAAAAAAAGACGTTTTTGTTTTTTGTTGTCGTCACAGAGAAAGACCTTACTCACCAATCTCAGTATCCCTAGAGGACACTTTCTAGATTTATCTGCATTGTTGTTATATTTATGTAAACCAATGGGACATTTTAATTGATTTTAGAATTACTATGTAATCCCTTTTTTGCCTCTATCCCCTTAATCAACCCACTTTTTAAAAAAAAGAAACATTTCTCCACTGTGCCCGTATTAAGCTCCGCTCTCAGATGTATGTAACTGAATGTTTCAATTGTCTGGAGTTTGTATATTTCTACCAACAGACATTTTATCTAATCTTTTTTATAATCCTGATTCTATTGACCAGATGTATGTTTGTTTGTTTTTCTCCTCTCTTTGATTTGAATTCTAATCATTGAATTTATGCTTAAGTGACTTTGATATCTGATATAACTTAATTCATATCCTTTGCCCTTTTTAACTGTAATTTTTGTAGCTTATTACCTGTGACTTTGTGTAAATGCAGCTCTTAGGTCAACGGATGTGTGAATATCAGACAAATTGCTGGAGTTGTCAGACTGTTTCACAAACTGCTCAAACACTGTGAGTCCACCATCACCGTCGAAATAACTGCTGGCAAGCCCCAGGTGATGGTGACGACAGATATCATGTGAAACAACACAGTATATTTTCCTTTTCTCTTCTTTCTTTTCCATATCTGCGAAACCAAAATGAAACTCTTGAATTTTAAGAATTAAAGCCATATAACAGTAGCGAAAACACAAAAAACCGAGGGCTTCTTTCGGATGCAAGTGAAAACAGAATTCGGGGTTCTCTCCAGTCGACCTTGCATGCAGAAACTTCTCCACTTATCCCCGCCCCTTCACACCAAGCTCGCCCCCTTTAACAGAAACAAACCTCCCTCACCTCTTGGAGAAACACACACACACGCAGGCTCACCTGTACAGGAGGACTTGAAATGTACGGACGAGTCGGCAGTGTGGCGACTCCTTCGATGGACCAACTTCACTGAGGCCTCAGTCGATCCCCGCTGTGACTAGATAACCCTCAAGGCGGCGAGATCCACCCACAAACCTTTTTTTTTTAAAAAACAAACACTTTGTACGAAGATTTCATATCGAGCCTTATTGTTTCTTAACTCCTCTCTGTCGTCTGTTTTTATTTATTATTACTCATCCACGTTGTGTTTCGTCAGTCGTACTTTCATAGCCGAAGCCCCAGTTTGCTCCTATGAATGTAGCAAAGCTCCTCGCGCCTCAGTTTGTCCTGTCCTACGCTCCCAAACACAGGTTCCTCCGTTTGTTCTCAAGACGAACGAGAAGGAACCGAAGAGTTTTTCTTTCACTCTTCATATAGTTCAAGGTTAAAGTAGAAATGCTTTTTTTTTTTTTTTTCCTGTTTGTGATTTAGTCATTTATGCACAATGCAAATCATGTTGCTGTTGTTCTATTCCTGCTCTTCCCATTGAATCTTCTGATCTTGTAACAATGATGTACAGTCTGAGTACTTATAAACTATTTTTATCACAATATTATTTATTGCTTACTTTCAATAAAATACTGAAACTTATTTTCCACTGCAGATAAAAGAGACTAAAGCTTGTCTTTGCCAGAAGCTCTTCCTGTTTCCTGTCCTGTGTTTGGTTTCGTGTTGGCAGCCAGAGTACAGAGAATGGACAGTGTCCTTATTGAGTGAGACTGAATGTATTTGATCACATCAGCCAAATGTAAGATATTAAAATATAGCGATAGGCAGCATCTGACCTCATCTGCCTCTGTGTTCAGATGCTGTTGGAACTAAACGCTTTCATTTACAGGTTTGTAATTAATTTGGTTTCCTTTGGTATTAATAGATGTTTTTCACAGCAGCCATTTTCACAGCCGATAGTAGGGTAAATACAGGTGTTACCAATGATACTAATTAAGGTTTGATTGCATTGGGAGTCAGTGTGCAGCTGTTGTGCATGTTGTGTCACAGGAAAGGCTCTGCTACACTAAATGGAGCAGCATGGTTGGTCACACCTGTATTTACCCTACTTTTTCATGTTAAGTGGCTGCTGTGAAAAAGGTCTGTTGTAGGGCAAATTGAGACATTGTAACACTTCAAATAATGAATAGTTAATTGTTAGTGTAACTTACAGTATTTCAGTATATTTTAGTCAGTACGCAGCCGACCTGCTGTGATCTGACTAAAAGACATAATAAACTTTATAGTATAAAGAATAAAGTTGAATTCCTCACAAATGAGTAAGGAAATAATATTTGCACAAATTTAAATGGAGCTATACTTAAATTTATACTAATTTATACTTAACTATGCTCCCTGTAATTGGAAGCAAATAGCATTGTTCTTTCCAGGACCGTTCCCCAGTATTAACAGCACCTATATAAAGTATTATAAAGTAGCTCTGAGGTGTCTTCATTTGAACATCAGAACATTCAAAATTCCCTTTTAGCCTTTTTTAGACCTTTGTTGTGAAGAGTGGACGGGAGCTGTAAACTCATCCTAAAATCTACTACTACTCTAAATAATACTTATTGATTTTAATCTTGGCCTGTTTGTACGAAAAAAGAAAAAAAACGAGCAACAGATTCATATTTGTTTGTTGTGGTCTGATTTTAATCAATTTAGCATGAACATATAATAAATAAATATAATGTATGAAGGAGAAATTATGATCTTACCATCAAATTTACCTTTTACATTAAATCAGTGGTTCCCAACCTTTTTCCTTCCCGATACATTTAGACATCAGTGACATATTGTATTTATAATTCATATTATTTTCAATGAATAACAATAACAGTAGAGAACAACTGATAAACTACAATGAACCCAAATATAATAACTGCAGTAAAATGGGTTGGATTATTTTCCTGGGAATATTTTCCAGATATTTTAGGAACTTTTATACAATTCTCTGTCTGTATTATGTATTTTAAATGTTTTTGAACAATCATACAGACGTAAACTTCTTTTTTACTTCTAGTTTCCTTCTCATTGTTCTATCAGCTCTTTGGTTGTTTTAACTTTTCTAATGTTGAGGCTGTTTATCAGAGATTAAAGGCTCTGTGAATGTAGTTTATGTTCAGGTTTTCAGTTAAGATCTTAAATAATCTAAATGAACAAAACTAAAATAACAATTTCATTTAGTTTTCTTCACAAAAATTAACAATATATATATATATATATAAGTGTTCTTCACCCCTTTAATATATGGAAGTCCATTCCCAACAATGTGACAGAAAAAAAAGATTGTAAGTCTTTTATAATGAGAAACTTTCTCACAACATTAACATAATCTCTCATTATTCTGACTTAATATCTCAGTCAGTTATAAAATAATTATAATGATGAACACGATCCTTTTTCCCATCAAGGTTGGGAACTGTGGAAGCCAGTGGGAAAAAAAGGATTCTGTCATTATAATGAGCAACTTTATTAATATTTTGACTCATAAAATATTGACTTAGTATCACAAAGTCACAAAGCCTTTTCTTTTTCTTGTCAAATTGGAGGAAAATTGGCCGCTATATAAAGGTTTTGGAGCCCCTGCATCAAATTTACCAAAATAAATATATAAATAAATAAATAGATAAATAATCCTTTTTCCCCTCATCACATTGGTGGAAATTGGCTTCCATATGAAGGTTTTGGAGCCACTGTATCAAATTTACCATAATAAATAAATAAATAATTAATTAATTAATAGATAGATAAATAGATGAATAAAAATAGATAAGTAGATAAATAAAAATAAATAAATAAAAATAATTAATTAATTAATATATAGATAAATAAAAATAGATAAGTAGATAAGTAGATAAATAAAATAAATAAATAAAAAATAATTAATTAATTAATAGATAGATAGATAAATAGATGAATAAAAATAGATAAGTAGATAAATAAAAATAAATAAATAAAAATAATTAAAAGATAGATAAATAAAAATAGATAAGTAGATAAATAAAAATAAATAAATAAAATAATTTATTAATTAAAAGATAGATAAATAAAAATAGTTAAGTAGATAAGTAGATAAATAAAAATAAATAAATAAAAATAATTAAAAGATAGATAAATAAAAATAGATAAGTAGATAAATAAAAATAAATAAATAAAATAATTAATTAATTAAAAGATAGATAAATAAAAATAGATAAGTAGATAAGTAGATAAATAAAAATAAATAAATAAAAATTAATTAATAGATAGATAAATAGATGAATAAAAATAGATAAGTAGATAAATAAAAATAAATAAATAAAGATAATTAATTAATTAAAAGATAGATAAATAAAAGTAGATAAATAAAAATAAATAAATAAAAATTGATAAGTAGATAAATAAAAATAAATAAATAAAAATTAATTAATAGATAGATAAATAGATGAATAAAAATAGATAAGTAGATAAATAAAAATAAATAAATAAAAATAATTAATTAATTAAAAGATAGATAAATAAAAATAGATAAGTAGATAAATAAAAAAGAGATAAATAGATAAATAAAAATAAATAAATAGATAAATAAATAAAGAAATAAATAAATATACCGCCCAGTGTGACGTCAGCGCTGGATACTGGGAGAGCCGGAAGTGGAGCCGCGGAGTGAGACAGCTTCAGATCCCAGTGAACGGTGCCGTGTTTCTGCCTCAGAGCTCGGGCTGTGAACGGGAGCTACATCCACCGACCGGGAACACAGACATCCATTGAGAGTGCGGTCGGAGCGGTACGGTGCACGGTGAGTATCCGGTTCGTTAAAATGTTAAACATTAAACATTCCTGAAGGCTTTGAGCCAGCTAGCTTAAAGAGCTAACTGGAAAACTGGAACAGGAAATACCACAGCAGCCCAGACAGACAGACAGACAGACAGACAGACAGACAGGCAGACAGACAGACAGGCAGACAGACAGGCAGACAGACAGACAGGCAGGCAGGCACAGACACCCACTCTTCTGCTCCTGGAGCTGAATTAAAGCCGTTTTAAGCTGCTGTGTGTCGGTGTGAGCGTTAACGAGGAGTCCCGGTTGCTGCTGGAAACAACCGACGTTGTTCTGTCGGTGCTGCTGATGAGTGTGTGTGTGTGTGTGCTGATGAGTGTGTGTGTGTGTGTGCTGCTGATGAGTGTGTGTGTGCTGCTGATGAGTGTGTGTGTGCTGCTGATGAGTGTGTGTGTGCTGCTGATGAGTGTGTGTGCTGCTGATGAGTGTGTGTGTGTGCTGATGAGTGTGTGTGTGCTGCTGATGAGTGTGTGTGTGCTGCTGTTGAGTGTGTGTGTGCTGATGAGTGTGGTGTGTGTGCTGCTGATGAGTGTGTGTGTGTGCTGATGAGTGTGTGTGTGTGCTGATGAGTGTGTGTGTGTGTGCTGCTGATGAGTGTGTGTGCAGGAAGAAAAGACTCCCAACCTCTTTAATGAAGTGTATTTCCATAGTCAGACTACACATCCACCTTCCGCCAGTGTAATCCTTCATTATGGGTCCGGCCCTACTTTAACTGGAGTTAATGAAAGCCTAACAACCCTTCAGGTACACCTCCACCCACACCTGAGTGCACCTTTATCCTGTAAGAAGCCTCCAGATGTGAGGATGTGGCCCTCAGATGGGTGTGGTAGTGGCCCTCAGATGGGAGGATGTGGCCCTCAGATGTGAGGATGTGGCCCTCAGATGGGTGTGGTAGTGGCCCTCAGATGTGAGGATGTGGCCCTCAGATGGGTGTGGTAGTGGCCCTCAGATGGGTGTGGTAGTGGGAGATCTCCCCCTGTCAGTCTGGGACTTTCCCCGCTGAGGTGGATGGAGCCACGTCCTCCTGGCAGCCTCTGATTGAACACAGATGCTGAGTCAGGAATCAGGATCGGCCCCCAGAACCAACCACACTGACACCAGCACACACTGGGGGGGGGGTTCAACTCAGATGTGTGTTCGACCCTTTAATGTTTAAATACTGCAACAGAGTGCAATATTCAGAGATTATTTCCATCACTAACGTCACACTCCACATCTTTTATCAGTCTTTATTTAAACTCATGCTTCCAGGATGGTTTAGCTCGCAGTCTCTATAGAATAACACATTGTGCTTTATAGGATGCTGTCAGGATGAAATATTAAAACAGTCTAATGATGCACAATGTGGATTGATTTATTTTCAATCAATAAAAAATAAAAAACTGATAATTTCATATTTTTGTATTTTAAAGAATTTGTAACCTGCAGTCTTGGACTCACTGGAGGGTTACAGAGGCTGAGGGGTTGATGATTTCATATTTCACTGTTGTTAAACTCACAAACAAACTGTGGCTTTCATAGAACGTAAAGTCTATCAATCATTTTTAAATTCAAAATAAATGATTATTATTCCTTTGCTCTTTTTTAGCTTTATAAAGTCTCATAGATTTGCTTCCATACCTCAGTGTCTTGATGTTCTCCTCAGACAATGTCTTTTCAGTATTTAAATAATATCATTTATTTCCATATCTGTAAATTAGGGTCCTCTAGTTTTATATTTTTATATAAGTGAGCTTGTTATAGGCCGAAGAACATCATCGGTCATCCTCCAGGATATTTTATACTCAGCTCAGCTGCATATTGAATTGTTGTCTTAGAAGAAATCGATAACCATTGTTGGATTTAATACCACAAGCAGTGCATAAAGGAATGAGCCACACTTCACACACTGACCAGAGGAATCTGGATTACAGTGTCATTAACTTGTGTTCATTGATTGTAATGTGGTTAGTGAGATATCAGCTCCCATGAAAAACAACCAGTTAAGGCCTGAAACACATTTTCAGAAACCTTTTCTATTATTTTGCATCAAAATATGAACAAAGTAGTTAAAACTGATCTGCAGCAGCTAGAGGAAGAACCAGATTATATCATATATTCTGGTTTACATCATTTATCTCTGCAGTGTCTCTGTTCCAGTGTCTGTTAGTGAGATTCATCCTCTCAGCTCTGTATTAATACATTACTCACATGTCTTTATGCTTATCGATACTTCAGCTGCAGTGATTAATCGAGTAGTTGTCAACTGTTAAATTCATTGTCAGACATTTTAATAATCATTTTTTTAAAGAAGAAATTCTCTGATTTCAGCTTCTCAAATGTGAATATTTTCTGGTTTCCTGAGTCCTCTGTGAATGTAAACTGAATATCTTCGGTTTCTGGACAAATGAAGACATTTGAGGGATGGACCAAACTACTAATGGATTTAAAATAATGTAATTATTCTATCTGAAATTGCCCTTAAAGACGGGAGTCTGGTTTCTCTAACTGTGTTCTTGTTTTTCAGCGAGCAGTAAGAATGTGGAAGGCAGCAGCAGGACAGTCGGTCAGTGTGGCTGTGAATGACGAAGGGGACGACTGGGAGACTGACCCCGACTTTGAGGTACCTGCTCATGCTTCCTCTCCCTCTCTCCACTTCTCAGCTTCATCCTTCACTCTCCTCATCGCCATTTCTTGCTCTCCGTTTACTAGAATGACGTGTCGGAGAAGGAGCAGCGCTGGGGGGCCAAGACGGTGTCGGGCTCTGGACATCAGGAGCACATAGAGTGAGGAAGAGGATAATGTTTCCCTTTGGTGTGATGCTCTTTATTCAAAGCACCGTGTGTCTAACCCTGTGCTTCCTTGGCGTAGTATCCACCGGCTGCGTGAGACCGTGTCCACAGAGCACACCAGCCTGAAGCAGAAGGAGCTGGAGACCATGCCCAAAGCCTCGCATGGATATGGAGGGAAATTTGGAGTGCAGCAGGACCGCATGGACAAGGTAAGAGGGACCACAAGATCTGCTCACAGCTACAAAGTGGGCCGTTGAGAAGTGCTGTCTCCGAGGTCAGATTAAACAATCATTATAAGAAAGCTGAAATCATTGTGTGTGTCAGGTGTGTTTGAATACTGCCAACAGTAAACGGTCTGTTACAGGTTACACGTTTTTATGGTGCATTCACACTAACTCATTAATTGGACAGTTTGTGCGATCCTTCATCATCAGGACCTAGACAGGGAAATCAAATCCAGATCACTGTATTTGTTATAAGATCGCTTCCTGAACAGATTTTACTGTCAGCTGATTCATTTATTAGCAGTTTGGCTTTTGACATTGTGCTGATTGTAGAATCCTGTGGTTGGTTCGATTGCTTTCACACCACAAAGATCTTCTCCAGACTCGGCTTGGAAGCAGACCGAGACCACCCTTTTCAGGTGTACCCAGCCCGGTTGTTATGTCCCGCATCCAAGTGCAAGTGCTGTGTTCGAGGGTTCAGTTTCAAAACAACTGCTCTGAACGAGACACGTGGATACACTCTCACTGAGACCTAAAAAGAGCCTGAGCTTCATAGTCAGAGTAAGCCGTCATATTCTGCTGTAATTCTCCAGCAGGTTTGGTGTCAGGATGCATAACGAACATGTGGTCAAACATTAATCTCTCGCTCCAGTTATATTAGACTGAAACCCTCATTGTTGGCTGTTACATGATCTCTGGATCGATGATGAGTCTAGTAATTCATCATCACAGTTGAATCGGTGCCACCAGCACACAGATCAATCGGTCCTAATGTGCAGCTGCACTACAGTAGAGATAACTCTTATAACCAGTGTTCCTGTCGCTGTGGCTGTCCTGAAGCTGAAGCTAAATATAAACCAACTTGCTACATCATAGTTTCAATCATCATCTAAAGGACCTCGGAGCGCTCTGCAGCGTTTTCTCCAATGTGTGTGTGAACAGGCTGAGTCAGTCGTGGCCGTTTCACACTCGATAATCTTTCCTGGCAAGCAGCCGCGTCCATCCACACCTTTCTCTCTGCGGGCCTGTGTGGCCATCGCAGTGTGAATGTGATGACCGAGCACTGTTTACACCACACTGTGATGAGTCAGATGTGACCACTCCAAACCTCTGGCTGTGTTTCCAGCTGTGCTGCTCTTTTTATGACCCCCTCCCCCCGTCAGATGTTCGCTTATTGCCCTTTCCGTGTTGTGAAGTTGTGCTCTTTTTGTGTGACAGTCTGCTGTGGGTCACGACTACCAGAGCAAGTTGTCCAAGCACTGTTCCCAGACGGACACCTCCAAGGGCTTTGGAGGGAAGTTTGGAGTGCAGGCTGACCGCGTCGACCAGGTATTTCCTGTGGCTCTCCGCCATTTAACAACATCTCCTTGGTTTTTTTTGTTACAAGCTCCCTGCGAAGGAAGTGACACAGCTGTGCTGAGGCAGCTCCTGGAAAGGTTCATAATGGCTGTAGTGTATTATGACTGTGATGCAGTGGTCGGTAGAATAATAGTGTTGCTTCCTCCTCTCCTTCCAGTCAGCTGTTGGGTTCGAGTATGCTGGGAAGACGGAGAAACACGCTTCGCAGAGAGGTAATCTCACAACTTGTTGTCTTTTTGTACGTGTGCCCCAGATCACCTGCAGTGTAGTTTAGCAGACCTCTCTGTGTGATAAACTTCTAAACTCACCGTCTATCTTTACCCCTTGTATCACTCAGTTAGGTTTTATTAACAGGGTAAGCTTTGCAGATTGCCTACAGGAGACACAAACAGCTTGATGAGCACCTGGCTGGTGGCCAGCTGCACCCCGCGTGCTCCTGTTGTGCCGATCAGAAGCTGCTTGATCTCTGCTCTGCCAGGATCCGACTGCACACACACACACCGTGTTTAAACACGTGTTCATGGTGTCGGCTGGATAAGCTGTTGTGTTGTGTTTGTTTTCCTGGCATATAATACGTTACAGTGCCGTCTGTAAGCATTATGACGGTGTTAGTTTTCCTTTTCGTGGCTCTGCTCCAGCACGTTGGAACTGAAACTGGTTAAAGTTGTAACCCTCAGCTGTAGAGGTATTTAACACCCATATTGGGGAAACAGAGTAAAATGTTTGCCCCTTTTGCCCCTTGGAGAGGATGTAAATAGACAGAAACAGTGAACTCAGTAACTGCAGGGTTTGTGTAATTTTGAGCAGATTATTATTATTAACTTTTTATCCAAATATCTTTTTAAATTTAGGTATTTTTTTTATTACTTTTAACAATTATACAGACTTAATAGGCGTCTTTTGTTTTTCTTGTCCCTGCCGATTGTCCATTGTTCTATTACACAACTACTGTGTATATTTTTAGGTTCTGTAGCATAAAGAAATAAAACATCCAGCACTTTAACCTCATATTCACTGTCACATTTAAAGTCCAATGTGCTGAAACAGAGCCAGAACACAACTGCATATAATCCTTACACACTGCACTGTATACAGTATGAACAGTCAACTGTGGCTCCTCAGCTTGTAGTATTTTAAAGTTGCATTCTCATGACCCCACACTGTCATCACCTTTGTGTTGCCTTCATCTCCTCCAGAGTACCCTGCACAGAAAGCTGAACATACGCCCAATTCCAATGGATCCTCAGTAGTGTAACTGCTACGTACTACTCTGTAACAACAGTGCACGTATCTGTGTTTATGTACCACAAGCAGGACAATGCACAGTCTATGTTTATCTCCTTTTAAAGAAGTAGATTTAAAAGCGTGTGACCTCATTGTGTGATACTGACAGCAGTGAATACGTCTGAAGGGTTTTGATTCTACTGCCAGTAAATGTTGATGGGGAATTTGGAATTGGGCTGCTTCGTGACCACTGCTACCATGCTGCTTTACCCTTTGACCCTTGCCCCCCCCTGCTTTGCTGTGTAGACTACACCACTGGGTTTGGGGGGCGATACGGAGTGCAGGCAGATCGTGTCGACCAGAGCGCAATGGGCTTCGATTACCAGGGCAAAACCGAGAAACACGAGTCCCAGAAAGGTTTGTCTGGATTTCCTGCCGTGCGGCATTTCCCATTAACCCCGGAGAGATACGGAGAAAATGTGGCTAATGGACACACACTAACACACACACACACACACCACACACACACACACACACACACACACACACACACACACACACACACACACCTCGGCCTGACTCAGTGAGCGCAGTTCCCTGCAGGTCCTGACAAATCACAATATTTTGCATTTCTTCCTCTTCCTTCATTCCTCAGCCTTTGCCTGCTTATGTAAGGTTGCAAACAATGGCTTTGTTTAGTTGCATGTGTGATGTGATGTTTGTTTACCCCCGGTGTCAAATATCACATTATTATAGTGTAAGTTTAGACTTTAAGGGAGTCTTTTTGGACGTAGGTGGCCATTTCCTTTCTGAAATGCTGTCTCCTTTAATGTGTCCCTGCTCCCTCCTCATCTCAGATTTCAGGTGATTGGCACAGACTTGCCAGCGCCTTCTGGTCTGTGGTTGGGCCTGACCAAGCCGGTTTTCTGGGGGTGGGGGGAGGGGGAGAGGGATATTTTAATGTGGTATAGTTTTTCCTTTTTAAACAGTTCTTCCAGTTTGGGGTTTTTCTTCTCTGAAATACTCTCATAGTGCTTTGTTGATATTTTACTTCATGTTATATGTACACTCACACATAAACTGCAGGGCATCCAGATACATTCATTCATTTTAAATCTACTGTTTAGTCGCACAGGGAGAAAAATATTTGGTGGTGAAAGACTTTATCGAGGGTTAACTCGGCTCCACCTCTTCCTGTCCTAACTTTGGCTCTTTCTGCCCCATCCCCACCTCCTCTGGCAGATTATGCCAAGGGCTTTGGCGGAAAGTTTGGCGTTGAGACCGACAAGGTGGACAAGAGCGCTGTGGGCTTCGAGTACCAGGGCAAAACGGAGAGGCACGAGTCACAGAAAGGTCAGTATCATCACAGGCACAAGAAGAGCCCCTCTTAAAGGAATAACATGCAACATTTCTGCTTTAAAATGACTAAAAACTTTGGTCCTACGTTATATATTTTGTACTTCCAGAAATCCATAATTTTATTCAGGTAACGCTGCGTTAGCCTAGCCTAGCCGGCGGCAAACGTCAGTGAACATAATAGAGTAAAACTTAAATTGACCTCGTCTGTCACATCAGATAGGCAGTGGTGGTTGTTTAACAATGATAATCCCTTAATCCCACGCTACATCACAACACAATCAAACTACATATGTTATTGTAGTCCAGTATCAGTCTGACTCTAACAGCAATACTCACTGACAGGATTTGATAATGATGTATGGCAAGAAAATATCACAGAATTACCACCAGAGCTGCAACAATTTGTCAAATAATTGATTAGTCAGCTATTAGGCCAACTACTGGGATAATCTATCAATCGCTTTGACTCATTTTTTAAGATAAAATGTCCAAATGTTCTTGTTTCTTTAGTCCTCTATGACAGTAAACTGAAACTCTTTAGGTTGCAGACAGAACAGGACATTAGTGGATGTCACTTTGGGAAACAGTGATCTATATTTTCTGACATTTTAAACAACAACTTGATTAATGGAGGAAATGAACGACAGATAAATCGATAATAAAAATAATAGTTACAGCCCTGATTTCATCTGGTGGATGAAAACCCACCGAATGCTGCTGATGTGTTATCAGTGGGTTTATGTGTCCAGAGGGCCTCAGTGAGCCGCGCCTTCCCGTCTGTTCTGACTCGTCCGGACTCTCAGTTGCAACACAGCAGAGCAGCTTCTACCTGCAGCGTCTTGTCTGACACACCTGCGCACACTTTAAAGCCTGATTGGCCGATGGCAGATTGTAGACACAGTGTTGAAGGTGTAAATGACCTCAAGAATTCCCCACAATGCACCGTGCTGTGTTTGCATATGTGGCGCAGGCTGTGATAACTGGGTCACATGGTCTGATAACAGCGCCGGCCTCTTTAATGCACCACTGTTAACACCGCCTGTGTGTAGGAACACATCTGTTTAAGAAGCTTTAATTCTGTACACGTTAGACTCAGTGAGCAGAACTGTTTAATGACGTATTTGTTTTTAAGTTTCTGTCTGTATAAGAGATTGTATCAGGTATTTATATAACTGAGTTAACCAAGAGCTGACATTCCTATAATTATCAACAGAATTAATAAGAAATGCACTTTACTCTTTACAATTACAGCTGCAGCCATAAGTCGACTAATCAATTAGCCAATCGAAATTTTTTTTAAAAAATCTAAAAAACTATTCTAATAATTGCTTATTCGTTAAAGTAGTTTTTTTGCAGAATTGAAGGAAATGCTATTTTCAGCCTCCTCAAATGTGCCTTTCTCAGTTTCTTTATCACAATAAACTGAGTATCTTTTGAGTTGTGGACTGACAATAGAAGACATTTAAAGACATCACCGCTGACTTTGAGAAACTGAGATTTCTTTTTATAGACCAAATGATGAAACTAGAATATAATTGGCAGATGAATCAGTTATGTTATAAGTGTTAGTTGCAGTGTATATAACTATGGAGGTATATCAGAATAATGATGTTATGTGTTCAACCAGAGGACAACAGTAGGATTCAGAAACATGTTCAGGCGTTAACGTCTCTCTGTGTCTCTGCAGACTATGTGAAAGGCTTCGGGGGAAAGTTTGGTGTGCAGACGGACAGACAGGATAAATCTGCACTGGGATGGGACCACCAGGAGAAACTACAGCTCCACGAGTCCCAGAAAGGTACTGGTTCTGATTCTGTTTCTACAGAGTTTGTGTGTTTGAGTCCTGTCCTGCTCAAACACATCGTATTTGCTTATCTACTCGATAAAAGTTTGATAAACCAGTCGATGTCTTTTCTATTGTAAATATTAGTAACAAATAAGTAACAAGTAATATTTAGTAACAAATGCATCATAAATAAGAAGTTCACTATAAATGGAATATATATCTGCTCTGTGATTCTTTGCTTCCTTTGTTGAAAGAAGAAGAAAGAAAAACCCCTGATAGCCACACATGTTTCTCTGGTCGCACATCTTTTGTTAGAACTTTGAACGAGGAGAAAATCCAGCGAACTTCAGCCTTTACAAGCTGTCTGCTTTGAGTTGAGCACGCAGTGTGCGTTCACCGTTAAACTTCTCCTCTTCCTCAGCCCTGCACGTCTGCTCTGATGTGGTTTTATTGTGGCTTTGGATGTGGTCTTTCAAAAGCTGACAACTTCCTCAATCTGCGGGTAAAAAAAAAAAAAAAGGTTCAGATAGAGGAAGTGAAACCACAGCTCTGATTTAGATTTGCATGTCGGGCCTCCAGCAGTGAATAAGTACCGTGGTAAACATGTACAGATACAGTGTTCAGATTATCTATATGTGAGAACTCATGAACAAACTCTTACTGAGATGTTTTTTGTGCCTAAATCTAACCAAACCTTAACCACAGTGGTAACATCAGACTAATAAACTCGTGAAATGTTACAAATACTCTATAAAGGCGATCTAGATGAAGTGTTACCTTTTTATAATTCATTTATTGGGACCAGCACTCCTAGATTTGAGGTCTTCCTGTGATGTGGGTCACAAGGAAACCCACACAGACGGGGGGAGAACATGCAAACTCCACTCTAGTTCACAGCCTAATGTAGTTACACATTCACATAGCCTCTGTCCCCACTTAGGAAGGTAGCTGCTCTAAAAATATGTCCACCTTGGCATTTTCAGTGTGGCAGACATTGTGTCAAAAGACCACATATCCACAGCAAAGCACCCAGTCAGTAAATGTCACAAACATTCAGTTCTCCTGAGAGGGGGCCGGGAAAGAAAGGAGCCAGAAATAGAGAGGAGGGACAGATTCATGTTGTGCAGAAAGAGGAGGGGACCCGACTGGAGCAGAAAGGCTCTCGCACCCAGCAGGAGCCAGCAGGAGCCAGCAGGAGCCAGGAGGAGCCAGCAGGAGCAAGGAGGAGCTCGGTGTTCGTGGTCGAGCTTTGACCACATTGAAAGAGCTCGGCGATGGTTTAATCACTGGACTGTGCCTTCTTCATGTCACTGAGTGTTTCTGAAATCCTGTCAGTGTATCATTGTCTCTGTTTGTCTATTTATATGTGTGTGTGTGTGTGTGTGTGTGTGTGTGTGTGTGTGTGTGTGTGTGTGTGTGTGTGTGTGTGTGTGTGTGTGTGTGTGTGTGTGTGTGTGTGTTTGTCCATATGTGTGTTATGTTGCAGACTATAAGCGTGGGTTTGGAGGGCGGTATGGGGTAGAGGTGGAGAAGCAGGACCAGTGTGCCCTGGGCTATGAGCACAAGGAGAGCCTGGCCAAGCACGAGTCCCAGAAAGGCACAGATACTCCCCTGAACACAACACCACCACTACCCCACCTCCCATTTCAGTACCCCCCACCCCTCACCTTTCCTGAACCTTACCCACCCTCCTCCAGAGAAAAATGCTTCCTCCTAACTTGACACGCCGTCCTCCTCATCCTCAGTAACGGCTGTTTTCTTTTAAGTGACGGACACGCCTTCCTTTCCTGACAGACGCTCCCAATCTGTCAGATAACCCCCGCGACCCCCTCACTGTTACACCCCCCCTCCCGCCTCTGCAGCACCAACCGATCAACATGTAGCTCATTTCTTATCAGTCAGCTCACCCGAATTATAAAACACACATTTTATTTCCCTCTGGTGGCGTCTCGCCATGCAGACGCTCTGCGTTTGATTGGTAGAATTTCTTTTATAGAAAATGAAATAGAAAACAAAAGCTGAGGTTCAAAGTTCATCCTTTGATCTTGATCGCCTCAGCAGATAGGTCTCCAGTTGTCAGGGAATTGTACACAGTGTTTGAAATTGAACTACAGTCAAACTACTGCAAAATCTAGTTAAACTAGTAGTTTAATTAAATATATGATATAACAGAAATATCTACACGTCACCAGGACCTGTTGGGAAAATCAGTGTTTTTGTAATTTGGTTAACTGACACTTTAATATGAGATAAATTGTTATAAGTCGTTATTTTACTTCTTGTAAGTATAGTTAGTTATAACAGACAGTTAGGCTGCTGGGTCTGACTATCTCTATCACTAATTCAGTCTATTAGTAACCTGTAAGATGGAAACAACATTTTAGTCAATAGTTAATATTTCTATTTTCTTGTGTGCGTCGGGTCTGTGCTGCTCAGGTGAGGTACATTTCTGTTCCTAGCCTAGAAACCTAGTTCTGTTTCTGTTGCTGTTTATTATTGTATTTATTGTTTCCATGATGTGCGGCCCATTCCCCACTGCAGACGGCCTTCGTTTGGGGCCAGGTGATGTCAGATTTATAGAAATATCCCACAAAACGAGCACAAGAATGAGGTGTGGAATGATGTGAGTAGAGGCCCGGCTACATTACTACATTATATGAGGGAATACATCACCTCGGCCCTCCACCTCCCCGATCATCCCCCCCCGCTCCTCGCACTGCCATGGCGCTGTTAGTTTGCTTCTGCATTCGTGTTGTGCATGATGTCGTCCAACCGCAGTGCATTTTGTGAACGGCCTCCTGCTGTGACCCCGCAGAGACCTGGCGCTGAGCCCAGATGGCTGCTTGACCCCAACTGTCTGGCTTCCGTTGAGACTCTCCTGTCAGTCCTTCTGCTGTCATTGTCTGCATTCAGTTTATTTTGTTTCTCCTCTCTACAGGTTTGCATGAGCTCATCAGTCCCCCAGCAGTCCTTTTCTGTTCACTGTATCAGTTCCTGTGAGAACCAACCGCAGTCTGCTTCATCTGAACTCTAGCAGCCCTGAGAAAGCTCTAATGTCTAACAGTATGATGAAGAGGCTGAATTAAAGTGTAGGGTCTGCTCGGAGCTCTGATGATGCCGACTGTGGTTGAATTGTTCATGTACAGCAGAAACTGACTCTTACTCTTCTCCTGTTTGTTACCAGATTATTCGAAAGGATTTGGAGGGAAGTTTGGAGTCCAGAATGACCGTATGGATAAGGTAATTAACATCTGTGTGTGTGTGTGTGTGTGTGTGTGTGTGTGTGTGTGTGTGTGTGTGTGTGTGTGTTGTGTCTGTCTTTGTCTGTCTTGTCTGTCTGTCTGTCTGTCTGTCTGTCTGTCTGTCTGTCTGTCTGTCTGTCTGTCTGTCTGTCTGTCTGTCTGTCGTCTCTTTTCTCTACTCTAAAAGCACTACTGCATTACCATGCCACAGATAGTGTAAAGCAATAACACTCCCATAAGAACGTTGCAGAAAATGACCAAATAGCGTGTAGCACGTAGCACATAGTCGGTTTGTGCTTGCAGACCGGCCAAAGTCTGATAGTTTGTGTTCTGCTTGTTCAACAAACTGATCACACTGCCTCCCCTTGGTTGCACTTATGTAGAATTCCCATTGTTGTAGCTGACTGCTGTAAAATAAACCAAAGGCTGCATTCAGACTGCAGGCCACAGTGGCCCAAAGTGGTCACTTTCATATGTGCTCCAGATCGGATTCAGGTTGGATGTTTGCAGTGTGCCCTCAGTGTGAACAGTCTTATCAGAATTCATGAGACCTTTAAGTTACTCTAGATTGACATTCATGTCTCTTAAGGACAGAGAACCTGTTCGGACTGGAATCTGATGTGGGCCACATTTAAAAACTAATCTGAATCTAATCCGAACTGAGTGCTGAGGTTTGCAGTGTGAACGTAGCCATAAAGTCTGTTTCACTCCCTCCACTCCTGTCACGCCATCTGAAGGCGACGCCTTGAACAGGTAAAAATCTGTGGCGATACTCTCCCAACTTTTAATCATTTAGTTGTTTTCTCAATTTCTTTGGAGTTTACTGGAAACTGTGGATCCATTTTTCTTGTTAAATAAAAGTTAGAGGGACAAGTGATAGTGGTCTGAACTGGCATAAAACCCCAGCCTCCAACACTGAACACACACCTGGATGTTCCTTTACCTGAGTACAGCAAAGCCAGGTTTTAGATAATGAATTAATCAAGTTAATATAGCAATTAGAGTACCTGACTGCAGTGAAATATACCGTAAAGTTTGCTGTGTTCTCTCTGTGTGGTAATGTTTTATTTCAGTACCTTCTAGACTTCAGAAAACATCAACAACACATTGAGGAAAAGCTTGCAGTTTTTATTCAAACAGTTATTTGCGTTATAAAAACAACGGGTCGGTGTAACGTTGTGCTGAGAGCTCTGTGTCACTCTCTCTCTCCGGTTCCACAGAGCGCCGGGACTTTCGATGAGGTGGAGAAGCCGAGCCCGTCTTACCAGAAAACCAAACCTGTGGAGGCCGGTGAGTTCTCATCAACGTCAGCTGTGTTTGAACCGTAGCGTGGACTCGCTGCGTCGTGTCTTCACTCTCCGATGTTCCTCTCCGCAGCCGGCAGCAGCACGGGGAGCATCAAGGCCCGCTTCGAGAACATCGCCAAGCAGACGGAGGAGGAGGACAGGAAGAGGGCCGAGGAGGAGCGGGTGCGTCGGCAGGCCAAGGAGAAGCAGGAGCAAGAGGAGGCGCGTCGTAAAATCGAAGCCACGCCCAAGGCCCCCTCCCCCGTCCCTGCTGCGGGTCCCAGCCCCACCCCCAGCCCCGCCCCCAGCCCGACTCCACCGGTCCAGCCAGCTGCTGCCCCGACATACGAGGTGAGACAGGGTGGTTGTTATCTTTCAGCCTGGACCCTGTTGTCCAACGTAACCCGTCAGTGTACGTCTGTAACAGCTGCTGTTTGTGCCACTGACGGTTCAGATTGTGTCTGAGAGACTTCTGGAGTTTTATTAAAGAGTGACTCTTTTTGTTTAACCAGCGTCCATTGACAAAAACATCTGAGTTTTAATGAAGCATTCAAACTCAACTAAAACTGCCTTAGTTTCTCTTTCCAGCCACCAACTCTGATTTGGTCGGAATAAACTGTTCATTCAGCGAGTTCAATGTGAAAGTATCAGGAGAGGAGCACTGAGAAACAGCAGGTAGAGGCACAATATTGTCACATAGTGGACGTACTCTGACGGCGTGCAGTTGCCCCCGAGGATCACACTGCAGACGTCTCACTCAATACTGGACCAAAGTCAAATATTGTCCCGGTTAGTCATATAGACACAAAAACACTTAAAGCTACAAAGACTTAAAGTGTTTTAACACTGCGAGGGAAGTGGTTATGCAGAGGAGCAGGTCACAGCTGCTGGATCTGAAACTGCAAACTTTATTATTACAGTAAAACCTTCAATATAATGAAGAAAAAAACAGAAACTTTTTCTGTTGTTCATGTTTTATGGAAACACTGTTGGGTCATCAAACATCCATCCTAATAATATGACCCGACAGGACAGAAGCACACTGTAGCTTTTACTGATGTGTGTGGAGGGAAGTCGACCTCTCACTGGCAGCAGTTCATAATACAGTGAAGCTGTTAACTCATTAACATGGAACATATTTTTGTTAGAACACAGAGGAACCGACCTACGAAACTGCCGAGGAGAACGGAGAGCAGCTGTACGCGGCGGAGCCACAGAACCAGTACGCACAGCCGGAGGACCAGGAGCTGTACCAGACCCCCGAGGAGGCTGCGACAGGAGGTGAAACTCTTTTCCCTCGTTGTCCTACAGGAACAAACATACATACAGAACTCATAGGATAAACTCTGGGGTCGGTGGCGCTGTGAACAGTCGACCTTTTACAGAAACGCACACGTTACAGACTGTAGAATAGATTATTCTTTATTGTCCACAAAGGTAGAAAATCCCTGTCAGATAGTTTTAGTTCAATTATATTCTGTCTCAACAGAAACTTTGATGAAGGGAGGAGTGACTGCGTTTCTAGCTCACTGACAGTATGGACCCTTAGTAATCCAGAAACAGAGAAACACCTGAACAAAAGATCTTTTGTAGTAGCTCCCACCAGAGACGGTCTGTAGTCTTTACTGGAACTAACAAACCGTGATCTTGTTGCAGACGGCCAGCAGTACGAGTACGGCGAGGACCTCGGGGTGACGGCGGTGGCCCTGTACGACTACCAAGCAGGTGAGGCTGTCGTGGTCACTGGCCTCTGACGGAGAGCCACACTGACTCAGGATCAGTAGCTTCTGTCTCTGGATCTCGTTAGCCTCAAACAGAATTCATACTGGTCTTTAAAAGCCTTCATCTAATGCTCCACCCTCTTCTTCCCGCCTCAGCCGGCGACGACGAGATATCCTTCGACCCCGACGACATCATCACCAACATCGAGATGATCGACGAGGGCTGGTGGCGAGGCGTGTGCAGAGGCGCCTACGGCCTGTTCCCGGCCAACTACGTGGAGGTTCGGCAATGATGACGCCCCCCGAGACCCGTGTCCCCGTCCCAGTGCAAAAAAACAAAAAAAACAAAAAAAAAGAGAGGGAGACAATTTAAAATCCTGTTTCTTTTTCACACTTCGGTCTTCGTTCTCTCTTCACCTCATCTTACCGCTTCGACATCCTCAGGTCTGCTGGCTGGCTTTTCCCTTTGCTCCCTTCTTCCATCCCCCCTCCACCCAGATTCACCCGTTTCCTTCCGTGCAGCAGAAGACAGGGAGGGAGGAGTCGTTCTCCTCAGAGAGCTCGTTACACTTTAAAGCTGCAGAATGCGTCTGGCTGTGAGCGGGAGCTGCACGTAGAGTTCAGCTTCACACGCGTTAGAGTCTCACCAAAGACCAGAGTGACGATGTACGCGTCCTGCTCGGGGGTGGTGGGGGGGGTTCAGGCTGCTCTCTGCTTCAGTAGCTCAACCTTAATGTAAGCAGGAGCCGTTGATCGCTGTGTTACCGTCCTGCACATCCAGTCTGGACCAGAAAGCTGATTTAACCCCTTCTGCTTCTTGGTCTGAACATAAAGCTCGCTGTGTTGCACAGGAGTGTGTGTCGCCCCCCCTCCGATTCAAGCTGCACTTTGGAAACTTTCGAGCTTCGTGTCGTACGAATACGTTCTCCTTTTTCCGATCAGTCGCAGGGTTGACTATAAACGATCAATACTCACAGAGAAACGGGGCCATAGTGTTGCACTACAGCTCATAGTATTATTTTAATCCTCTTTAACTGTCGCTCGGAATCATGTACAGAGAGATCATACGATAGAGAGATCATACGATAGAGAGATCATACGATAGAGAGATCATACGATAGAGAGATCATACGGTTGAGAAATGATAGAAAACGTATTTTTGTTGCGTCACTGTGGGGTTTTTTTCGGGTGTGGACGAGACGTTTGTGTTCGTGTCTTGCTGAATGCTCGTGGTGGGGTGGGGGGGGTTCTGTCAGAATACGTCGGTACGCACACGCTAACATCTCTCATGACCAAACGACGCACGCTGACCTTCTGGAACCCCGCCATTAAGGGGCGGGGCTTTGGTGGATCCGACAAACACTAATTATTTCCTGACGGACGAGCAGCTCGTCTGTGGATCGCAGTAGTGTAGCTGAAACAGGTGTGTGTGTGAGTGTGTGTGTGTGAGAGTGTGAGAGGGCTTTCATTAAATTCATCTTTGGGGTTTTATAATAAAAGTGACCTTTTCAAATGCATTATTTTTATCTGTACTTCTGTTTGCTCGAGTCACATCATTACCTGCTTGTTCTCTTTTTTTTTTTAGTTTCAATAAATAAACTATAATGATGAGTTTGTTTTGGCTGAGTTATTTTAACGTCCTCAAGCTGTAAATCTCCAGAAATAAGTAGGTTCAGAATTCCCACGAGTCCTGGAAAACCTGGATTTTATTAGACTATTGATCCAGTCATGGAAACACCTGGAAATGGAATAAAATGACCAAATATCCTGGAAATAATCTCTGTTGTCCTGGAAACGTATTTTTGCCAGGTTTGAGGTAAATTGCAGTAAAAAAAAGCTTTCTTTGTGGGTGAAACCAGTACTTATTAGTTTATTATTTATAAGATTAAAATTTAACATTCAAGCTCAATAACTGACATTAACAATAAAATAAAATTGAGTTGCAGTAACTAATATTAGAAACTGATACAAATATTCCAACCTCATTAAAATAACTCTAACAGCAACATTTTAAACCTTTCAGATAGTGCTGCTGTAATTCTCAAACGTGTTACTGTAATATTATCTATGCCTCTTTATTCTTTTACTTTGCAATATGATTCATCATCACAGATTAAACTTGCTAACATAAAGCAGTTTAAATGAGCTCCACTTTGAGCAGCTACAGAATTAAAATCCTATTTACATGATAATCCATCAGGACTAATGACATTAATGTGACACTAAACTGGGTGAAGTGTTAGGGCGGGGCTAATGTTATAATAAAACAATGTCTCATTCATTTTATTTACCTGATTATTTGTTTTGTATGAAAAATACTGATCTTGAGAATAATGGAACTACGGCTGCTGAATTAAAAGTACTTTTCCTCAATTTAGTACTTGATTACACTGAGTAATTGTACTTTTACTGTAAGTCATACAAACACTGATGAACTTACAGTACAATGACTTCTGATGGGTTCAACAGTTTGTGGTTGTTACAGCTCGTCTACAACAGTAATATGCTGCTTAGGGCCAAAATAATATAATATAATATAATAGATCAGTGGTTCCCAACCAGGATGTCAAAGCTTCATCACAAGGTCTTCTGGATTTTAAAACATGTTAGAAAACTCTATTAACACACATCAGACCGATATCTCAGCATCTGGTTCATTTGGTAAACCGTCTACTGGAACAATGAATTAGTCAAAAAAGAAGACTGATAGTTCAAAAAATCCATAATACAGAGAGAAATTCTATAAAAGGTTCTGTACCAGGAAATAATCTGCTCAGCATTCATCCCAATCTCTGGTTTTCCACAGACTTGCTGCAGTTACTGAGTTCACTGTTCGGGTTCATTGGACAGTTTTGAACTAAACGACAGAAAAGGCGTCCTGAAGGAAAAAGGTTGGGAACCGGTGTTCTAGATAATAATGTAACACTGAAAGGAGCCACTCTGCTCCATAAAGAGGACTTTTACTTTTGTACTTTTACTGAAGAGTTTGAATGCAGGACTTTAACTGCAGTGGAGTATTTAACTCTGTTATTTCACTGCAGTAAAGGATCTGAATAGTTCTTTCAGGATGTAAATTCCTTCATTTAAAAACACAAATCACTCGACGGAGACTCTGAGACGCAGTTTACTCCACTTTTTTCATGACCTTAAACAGAATCTCCTCTTTTCTCTCCTGATTCGGGGCCACAATAAAAGCTGAAAGGAGGATCTGATTTGTGGTGAATCTTGTTTCTGATCCGCTGGATGGACTCGAGTGAACGGCCCCTGAACATCACAGATTGTCTCATCTCAGAGGGCTGCTGCAAGTGTGGTGGGCTGGGTGATGAAGATGATGATGATGGTCTCAGCAGCAGCTCCTCTTCCTGGTTCATGTCTGCTAAATAATCCCAAATACAGAAATGATGTTCACACAAACTACATTTCTTCCAGAAGAGTGAAACTATCCGGAGTCTGACTGTCTGTGGATTTATGAGGCTGATATCCGTGTCCAACAATCAGGATGTAAAATCAATTAAATATATTTGTTAGATTTATTAAAGAACTGTGACTGTGTACATTTTACAGGTGAAATAAACTCATCAGCACCCTCTGGTGGACAGACTGAGGGAGACAGGTCTCGTTATTGATCAGCTGACTGATGTATCGACCAACAACTCTCTTAATTCTGTTCTTATCTGTGATTGATTCTCTTTGTGTTGGTGCTCACTGAATTCTGGGATTTCTATCAGGTTAGAGAACAGCTTAAGAATGCCTGAGAGCTTCTTTAACAGACATTAAGAGAAAGTTGCTGAGACATTCAGACACAGTTGTCTCACAGTGGAGGATTAAAAAACTGTTTCAGATGAACAGATTTCACTCTCTAAACATGAATAAACCTGGTTCAGTCTTCAGTCTGTGATAAACAGCTTCGTCCTGCATTAGAAAACAGCCGAAGAGCTGAAAACACTGAATCTGTCAATCAATCAATCAATCAATCAATCAATCAATCAATCAATAAGTCTATTAAAGTCTGTATGATTGTTACAAATGATACAAATATATTTAAATCAGACTTATAAATTGTATAAAAAAAGTTGCTAAAGATATCAGTAAAACTAATCTAATCAATAATCAGAGGAAATAATCTGCTCAGCATTCATCCCAATCTCTGGTTTTAAACTTCCTGCAGTTACTGAGTTTATCAGCTGTTCTCTATTATTGTTATATATTAAATATGAAATATCCATAAAATACGTCACTTAAGTCACTTGATGAAGTCAATGATAGAAAAGAGCTCTGAAGGGAGAAGGTTGGGATCAGTGCTGAGGACTTCATCAATATCCGTCTGCTTCCATCACTACAGTCAATATCGACATCATCTATATTCTGATAATAATCTGATGAGATTATTGGCAAAGATTCACAACACTTCATGGATCTCAGTATAATGTGTTTCATCCGATCTGATCTGAGCTTTAAACTGTATCTGAACATGAACTGAAGTTTATTACAGAACTGTTTATTAGACAGAAATAAGTTTAATAAACTGAAGTGAATTTGTTACCTGGATTCACAAAATGCACTGCAGAATCATTTATATATCTATATAAATAACATAAATAATAATGTTATCTGTTTGTGTGTGTGTGGCCTGAAGCTCACTGTGTTACACAACCAGGTGTTATATGATGATGAATATATTTCTTTGATTTCAGTTATTATAGAAATAAACTAACGTCATTGTTTTACTGACAGGAAATCGGTCGGTTTATATTTCAGTTCAGTTTCCAGAGTTTGTTTGTTTCAGTTCAGATTTCATTATATTTGTGAGAATATGTCTCACAGTCTCAATAATCAAACGCACCAACGTCTCCTCCTGTTTGACTGACGAAGACTAAAACTGAAGACATCTCCTGTTTATTTATATATTACAATATGGTTTCAGTTTTATTTACCTTGTTTACTCCAGTTATTTCTCTCTGTAAGCTCTGATTTTAGATCCTGGAGCACTTTCATTATTATTATTATGTTAATTAAGTGTATACGGGTACAAACACAGTGCCCTGAATTAAAGCTGCTTTCTTACCTTCTGGTTAAACATCCAACTGTTGAGCTGCACAGACTCTCTCCACAGTTAGCTCTGATTGTCCTTCATTCACTCATTTAAAGTCACTTTATAATGAGAGACGTTCATACAGAGCAGGTCGGCTCTTTCACAGATAGATAGATATTATATTAACTCTTAGGTTTAATATTATATATTTATTCAACTTAAATTACACTTTAAAGGTCCAGAGTGGAACGTTCAGCAGGCTGCTGGCAGAATAGAATATTTATATGTTATATCAGTGTTATCTGAGGGAAAGAATCGTTCAATAAATGTTTTTATCTACAGACGCCTTCCATAGAGTCCGCCGTGTTTCTACAGTAGCCCAGAACGGACAAACCAAACACTAGGTAGGTGTCAGTAAATCCTGGACCTTTAAATCATTAAAAGCTACAGATTGAATAATTAAAGGTCCAGTGTGTTGGTTTTAGCGGCATCTAGTGGTAGTTTTACAGGTTGTAACTCCCTCGCTTCACCCTCCTCTTTGAAGTGCGAACAACAAATTCACAAAAAACACAAATCTCACTGTCAGCCAGTGTTTGGTTTGTCCATTCTGGGCTACTGTAGAAACATGGCAGTTCAACATGCCGGAAGTGTAGCGTGAGGCAGCGTCTGTAGATAAAACCGTCTCATTCTAACGTAACAAAAATACAACGACTCATATATTCAGGTGATTAAACATTAATGAAACACAATGAATGAATATTATATTTCAATATTAAAACCAAACTTATAATTAAAATGAACACTTAAACATAAGAACTATCTAAAATGATAGAAACCATCTCCAGGAAAACTTTATTTGACTTTGACTTTCTGCTAACGGTGAGGCTTTATGAGCTGTACTGCAGTCAGCCAGCGGGGGGCGATAGAGAGGGTTTGCCTTCACTCTCGGAGAGCTGTCAGGCCGTCCATCCGCGCTGTAAGGACTGAGAGGAATACAACACTAGTGCAATATTATATTTATTTCTTACAGTGAATTTTGGTTGCCATACAAGAAGTCTTGAGGATTCGAGGGGGGGGGGGGGGGAGTGCAGTTACAGGAAAATTCTCTCTCTTTTTCATTTCAGTAATTAGTTGACTCTATGATGATTCAGTAGCACAAAATTACAGCAACATAGAAAACATGAACACAAGTCTCTGCACAAATTACCGAAAACATCTTAGCCTCTATGAAGACTTAATCAAAGAATAAAATCTATTCATGAAAAAAATAAATTAATCAATTAAGAAAGAAAGAAAAGAAATCAGAAACAGTTACCCGAATGTTGGACAATGATGAAGGTGGGAGCAGTGTTTTGAAGGGGAGTGGAAGTGGGTTAGTGAGCCGTGCCCGTCCTGAACACGGCCTGGTGATGCTCTTTAAAGATTTCCTACTACGTCTACTCAGCTCTACGTTTCCACAGAAAACTGCTCGGTGGTCCGCCGGCGGGAACCGACAGCCACCGCTAATCTTTTTGGTGGATTTCTGTATGTATACATATATATAGGTTTCATATATTTCCTACCAAGATGGCCTGCGGATATATATATAGAGAGATTTTTTTTTAATTTACAGATTATTTTGCTCTTTTCATACACTCGCTCCAGACTTTCAGAGGGTGAGAGTCAGGCAGATGGTGGTCGTCAGAAGATACCTGGGTTCACTGGATTGGCCAAAATATCTCCCTACTGCAGTAGAGAGTGTTTCTACTTTAGGCAACACTTCATTAAAACACTGACAAGTGATCATGATATGTAACTTTAAAATGGGAAAATAAAACACAACCAAGGAGATTCATTCAGAATAAATATTGCTTCTTACATAACCCATAAGTCTATTAATATCCACGTTTTTTATCTATATAGTATTTGTTTTTTTTTGGCAATCCACGCGTGTTGAACAGGTTTTGTTCAGATAACCTCTATAAAATTTCATAGAACTCTATACAAATCTTTAAAAATACTGTGCTTTTCTGCCCCCGCCGACACGTCGCTGTTGGTTTTAAAATAAGTCCGAACAGGAACAGGATTATAGCAGCATTGTCCCGTGCCAGCCTCCGTACGGCTAATGTTCACAGAACACAGAGCTTGTGTATGTTTCATTTGTCTCCTCAAAGAAAAAAAAAGCTGCACCTACATGAAGCTGCGGAGTGATATGAAACCAAATAAGAGTGAAGTTGCTCTAAAAACCATATATATTTCCAGACGTTGGGTTACTGTCGAGCACATATCGAAAGCGCACGTGAAGCGTGCTCTGAAAGAATCTACTTCGAGATAAAACACGAGCTCTTTTTCTCTACGGAGCGACAGGACGGTGGTGCCGGTGGAGGAGGGGAGCTGTGAGCTATTTAAGGCATCCTCTGCAGGATGGGGGGGCGAATGAGACCACTGCGCTGGTCCTCGGGTCGGCTCTGGCAACTATAAATCAACCTTCATAGAATCGTTTTTTTTATTACTCTAAACCTTTTTAATAGAGCTATACATATAATCAAATAGACATTTGTATCCTGTTAAACACTCTTATATACACACATTTCAACACACACTGTACTTCTACTTCTGACCAGCCTGTACTCATTGCTAGCAAACACAAACATTTTCCAGCTTTATAAATGCTGATTTTTAAAATTGGACCCTTATAACAAAGTTTGAGCCCGGTCCCCGCAGCGAGACCGGATGAGGACTTGGAGAAAAGCTCGTAGTCCAGTCTAGTTACAGCGACTCGAAGTCCGTCTGCAACGGATCAGAAATGGTTTCTATCCTTTCTAATCTCACAGGGGGCTGATGAACATCTGCCGCCTCCGTCAGGTTGTTCTCTGGTTGGTTTGTTTGCACAGTGGTTCGAGGGCAGGACACGGCATGAGGACTTACGTGAACACGTAATTCGATATAAAACCCTGAAGCCGAGGATTCTCCATCTGCTCCAGAGGCCGACGCTTCGGCGAGATTTTAATGTCATCTGGCCGACGCCGCTCTACGAAGCATTAACCTGCTGATACGTACAATTATAAGACAAAGGTCTCGTTTGTCTTGGCGGTCTGTCGGCGCTGACCTGTACCTGAAAACGGCTTCATTTAGGGTTAGGTCGGATTTGAACTCGAGTTAGCTTGATGCTAACGAATCTCTTCTTTTTCATTAAAGAACAATGTACAACATGTTCAGGAAGTCATTTAGCTAAATAGAAAATACAGAATTTATCTTTAAACATCAACCTGTGAGTTTTAGTTATTAAATATTTGTGTTATTTAAAATTGCTGACAGCTAAAAAAAAAAAAGGCTCCAAAAGGATTTTACACTGGATTCAAATTCAATACCAAGAAATATATTTATACATTTTCTTTCTCAGAGTTTGAGACCGATTCCACGGTCGTATCAATGTGGGGGTAGAGAGAGGAGACCATTAGCTTAGCTTAGCATTGAGACTGGAAACGATGATGTTTTAGCAGTTGTTTACTTTGTTTACCTTGTTTACCATCTGAGTTCACTGAAGTCATGTGACCGTGGTGGAGCTTATAGCCTAACGTTTACTCCTCAAACATCATAAAAGTGTTTGATTGGTGAAGATTATCTTACTGAACAAAATGTGTAAGTATCATAAACCTTTGTTTTCTGCAATCATCCAGAATTCAGTGGAGAAATCCCGCTGGCTCTGTTCTGTTACTGGAAACCTGAATTATTGACCTGAAGGTGGCGCTAGAGGAAAAGTGAATGGATCACCAAAGAGTTCACTATTAGAGTTCAGCCTGAGGAAACGGGGATGGAAACGTGAATGTCTGAACCAAATGTCATCCAACAGTTTCAATCAATACAAGGTTTTATTCCATTTCATTAATCCCATCCCCCTCTCAGAATAACATTAAAGACATTTTAAAGCCTAAAATTCAGACGATTGGATTTCAGACGCAGCAGTTCCTCGTTCAGTCGTGTGAGCTCAACGTCAGCGTTCCTCGGGGCCGAGTACGGCACCATTCACATCACCTGTTGGCCAATCAGGAGAGGGGAACTGCTCACCGAGGGTATTCTGATCCTTCCTCAGTTAGAGCAGATCTCACGTCAGTAGATACGCCACAAACCCTGGTCTGATTCTGGAAATGAACCCTCAGTACCTGCATCAGGGCGGACTTTAGAGTCATTCGTAGAGAGTTTCCTTGCTTTATGATGACTTGTCGCCTGCAGGCTTATTTTTGTTCATTGGTTTATTTTCATTAAAATCCCCTTATCCATTTTTTTAATTCTCCGAGTAGACGTGTTTTTATTATGTGGTTGGTTCCTTTTCCCCTGATCTGACACCGGAGGAATCTGTACTGTCACAAGACCTTTTAAACCCCAACGGACCCCCTGTTAAACTTATTGCAGAGCCAGGCTAGGAGTTTCCCCCTGCTTCCAGTCTTTATGCTAAGCTAATCGTCTGCTAGCTCCAGTTTAATCTTTAAACACGAGCGTGGTATCAATCTTCTCAAAAACTCGCAGCAAGAAAGCCAATCTTTCCCAAAATGTCGAGCTATTCCTTTAAACGCACCTTGTAATGCTGTGTCTAACAAACCTCAACTTCTCGCACGCACACAGCGGGTGTGTGATGCATCAGCGTTACCGGGGGGCCACATGAGTGTCGACCTGCTAATGGTGGAGTGGAAGGAGATCTGGCATAATGAAGGAAAGTACAAAAGTAAAGAACAGCTCTAGTTTCCCTATACTGTGGCCTACATAGCGGATTCATGGAAATAGCTAAAGTGGCCTTAATGATATTTTGGGTCAACCGTTGACACACGCACGCACACGCACACACACACACATACACACACATTTAGAAGGAAAGGCCAGGAGGGACAAGGACGCCCTCTGCAGACAGACGAGCTGGTAAAACCGCTTCAAGGTGAGAATCTGGTCCAACGTCCGTCTGTCCGTCGTGTACCTCGTGTCCTTGGCCTTGTATGATGAGGTGGACACCTGGTGGGTGTAGACTGGCGAGGGGCCCCCGGGAGGGCCCCCTGCTACAGCGGAGCTCCTCCTCTGGTGACCACCTCTCTCCACGCGTTGCTCTCTCTCAGGAGAAGAAGGCCATCGCAGTATCGGTGTGTGTATACATGCTTAGGGTGTGTGAAGACAGTGTGTGTGTTCTCGTTCGTCAGTGTGGCACTGTGCATAACGCGTGTGTGTGTGTGTGTGTGTGTGTGTGTACATGAGACATGAGATATGGTTTAGTATTTGTATAAACATGTCAGCTAATGTTCTTATTTTGACACAAACAGGTGAAAAGCAAAAGAAAATGGAGTCTATCTCAAATTTTTCTCTACAACCTTAGATGCACCCAGAAATATAACTCCGGTAGGACTCTAGTGAAGAAATATTATTCTCTGAACAAACTCTAGCAAAGATAGAAAAGGAGCAACGACCAGCTCAGCTGGTTTTCATGCACCCACACCGGGGTGTATGGAAAAAGTCTTTAGTATTCCAAAGCAGTTGGGTGAGCACGAGTCTTTATGTGAAATAAACTTCCAGTTGAGTACACACTATTCCAGAGTTTGTTTTCTGGTCAGTCCTTCGTACTGGTCTCCTCTGCTTTCTCTCTCCTTGATGTGACATAGCAGCTATTCTCTTCTCTCTCCCCCTGCAGTTCTGCCCGACATCCCATGATCCCCTGATGCTCGGGGCGGGTGGGAAGGAGGAAGAGGGCGGACAAGACCGGAGCACTGAGATGAGGGCGGCGGAGGATGAGAGAGGACAAAAACAGCAAGAGGCAGCATCAGCTTGGACAAAACTTCTACCCAGTTCCACGACTTAGATTATGTCTGATGAAGAGATCGGTAAAAGTGATCGGAAACACCTCCCTCTCCTCGGCCCTGACTCCACACGTCGCCTCCCCGTCTCCTCGGGGCTTATCTGTCCTGCAGCAGCTTGAGGGCCCTCTCGATGTTCATGCGGTGGCCCACCCTCGTCACGCCGAGGTCTATCAGGTCCTCTTTTTGCAGCGAGGGCAGGTGGGCGCCCTCGATCTCATTGTCCAGGAAAGCGTCCCTGTGCTCCCCCAGGTTGAGGCTCTCCAGCCAGTCCGCCACGTCGTGCTTGCTCCACAGCTCCATGGGTTTTGAGGCGAAGGGTTTGCCCGAGGCCGCCACCGCCTGCATCAGCGTGAGCGGCGACGGGGAGCGCGAGCTCCCGCTGCCGCCGCACGAGGAGCTCAGGCTGTAACCGCCGCCGCTGCCCATGGGCGGGGTTGGCAGGCCAAAGACGTCGGTGAGGGTGGGCGACACGGAGGGCGGCAGTGAGGAGCAGGGAGTGAGGGAGGAGGCGGAGTCTGGCGGGCTGCAGGGGTGCGTCTGGGATGGGAGGCTGCTGGGAGGGGTGGAGGTGAGGGCAGCAGCGGCGGCGGCGTTGTTACGCATTCCTGAGTCTTCTGCGGGAGGCCTGAGAGGAGCAGAGAGGAGACGGCGGTTAGACAGACTGACGAGGACAGACAGCTGGAGAGGCTGTTTAACATGTTTTAGCCCACTGGTTCCCAACCTGAGGGTCCTGACCCCCACTAGGGGCCGCCAAAGTCTCACAAGGCCTTCTTAATTTTAAGGGGTGTAAGAACTTATTTCTAAGTATACAGCCGGCCTGTATCTCAGCATTTCATTCAGTTCTGTGAAGAAAACAGAAATTAAATGAAACAGCCTTGTCCTGCATTAGAAAAACAAGAGATGAGAAGAAAACACTGAATTTGTCAAAAAAGAAGCCTACTAAGTATTTATGATTGTTGAAAATTAAACATTAATACACAAAATTGTAGAAAAAGTTCCTTCAAAATATCAGGATACCTCATCTCTGATCAATATTCACAGGAAATAATCTGCTCAGAATTCTTCCAGATCTCTCTTACACAAACTTCCTGCATTATTGTGTTCACTGATCATCAGTTGTTCTCTACTGTTATTGTTATACGTTAAATATAATATGAAATATACATAAAATACTTTCAGTTTAGGTCCATTAAGGACAAAGGCTGACATTTGCAAACTATTTCTGTAGCAGGAAGTCACTGTACACTAACTGATGATGATGAAGTTTGGATTACAGATGTTCATCGTGTTGGTGCTGGAGGGATTTCACAATGTAATGCTGCACAATCAACAGTAGGTGGCGCCACAGGGCAAACCTCTTACCAAAGCTGCAGCAGCTGACGTTTAACCAGAGCCTGTTTGCAGTTTCAGTTTAGAATCAATGAAAGGAGTCACTCCTCCACCAAAGTTACTTTATCTTTTACCACATTAGCCACTGTGACTAAGCTTCGGTTGTTAACGTGTTCCTGGGTTACTAACAGTCGACACTACACCGTAAACACAGGTTAAAAGACTTCAATATGTAGATACAGCACGAAAAGAACCCTGTATGGTATGATTAGCATCTGAATGCTGACTGTAATGTTATTTTCCTGTTGATTTAATGAACTGTTCAGTACAGGCCTCGTCTGTGCAGGAAGTCAGCGTGAAACCAGAGCAGATTATTTCCTGTCAATGATCAGAGATGAGTTTTCCTGATATTTTTAGAAACCTTTTATACAATACAGTCTGTATTATGTATTAATGTTTTATTTTTAACAATCATACAGACTTGAATAGGCTGCAGATTCAGTGTTTTATTGTCATTGCTCTATCAGCAGGACGAGGCTGTTTATCAGAGAGAGAAGGCTCTGTGAATGTAGACTGTATTCAAAGTTTACATCTTTAATAATAATCTAAACTTTAAAAATAATAACTTCATTTAGTTTTCTTCACAGAAATGACCCAAATGCAGAGATATAGGCCGACTGTATTTCCTAGACAAATGCTTCCACAGCCTTGTTTGTTCTTCAGTGTACAACATTTAAAGGCAGTTCCAGGCCACAGCAGTGTAAAGTCCCAGTTGTTAATATGTCTAATGGTTGTATTCCACTGATGTGAAATGATTAGTGTAGCAGTGGTAATAAAGACTGAGTGCAGGCCTCCAGGTTGAGGAAAAGACGCTGCATGCTGAGTGTGCTGCAGCCAGAGGGAAGCCTGCAGCATTCAGTCCACCCACTGCTTCTTAATGGATGGATGTGCACCAGTACAAGGGGAGGGGAAGGTTACTCTAACCTTTTTATAGCCTTTACACTATGAGGGGGAACGTACTAATAGAATATTGAAGTGACCATTTTCCCTCAGAGGAAAAATCACTTAGATTTAAGCCAAATAAAAAAGGAGTAAACCTCCACACTCATTCAGTCACAGAATCAGAGCCACAGTTTAATAGTAAAGTACGGATACTTTATGACATCATGTAAAGACTAACTTAACACTAAACTTAGTAATTATATGCACAATTACTTCATTATACTATAAACTGTTTGTGGTCTTTAGTGTTCATTGCAACAGTGTCTTTTTCACAAGGACAGAAAGAGTCTGTCCTCCAGAGGTCCTAAACTTAAAAAAGTTCAAATGTGTTCTTCACTGAATGGAACGCCATTTTAACAACATGTTTTCCAAGTGGCGCTCAGTTATGTAACATTACTTCATGGTTTTCTCCTGCAACTTGACTGGATGCTGGATTTAGTGTCAACTTGCAGGAGATGAAGAGCCTTAATGTTGATTCAGGAAATGAACTGAATCGTTGCACACTTTCTACATAACGTGCTTTAGTCTTTGAACGTGGGGAAGGTATCATGTTTTATTTTAGTCAAAAGCCTCAAATCCAGTCTAAAGTCATCAAACTTGAGTTCACACCTCTGCTTTACTTTAGTCTAAACTACAGTCCCACTCTGCAGCGGCTCACAAGATAAATCTGTCGGGTTTCAATGTGATTAATGGTAAAAAAAAAAAAACTCATCTTGAGAAATACAAGAGTTTTATCTCTTCAGGAGGTTTAGAGGAAAAATTCCCTCTTTAGTTAAACTGTGAAAAACAACCTCTGGTAAGAGGTCACAGGCAGACACTCTGGTGATGTTCTTTATTTCCCTGGGTTGGATACAAATACTCTACTAATATCTCTTACTCACAAATCTCTCTGGAGCAGTGGTCAACCTTTTTGGACCCCCACTGATACACATCAGGACCTGTATTTGATGAGATGTGGTCTCAGGGATCCCCGTCTGATATGGTTTAGTTATTCTGAACTGTCTGTACTGTAGATGGACAGATTAACAGAATACTCATTCTCTCATTGGGCCAACGTCTAGCCAATGAAATAATAGTGAAATTAAAATATTCCACATTTTTGTGGACCCCTTGGCACCTCCTCAAGGACTCCTGGGGGTCCCTGGACCACAGACTGAGAGCCACTGCTCATGCTTTTAGACATAATTTGTCTTCAATCTCATTTTGTTAAAAAATGATGAACCCAGTATCGTGAATCGTATTGAATCGATCGTCTTAGTGACCAGCGTGTTCAGGAAATGACTGAGCCTTTTTTTTAAATTATACATACTGTAAGTTTATAATATTTTGGTCTTCAGTGGGAAGTAATGTGACTGTAGCTGAGAGCCACTGAGAGTACGGACGTTAGAAAGTATTCACAGACGGACTAACACACTGTTGATTTTGGTCTTTTCTGGGGATTTGTTGACAATAAGAAAATGATAAAATAACAACAGATTTATCCGAGCTTAAAGTGTCGAGTCGCTCTTAAACAGGAGGATGAACAGGAGCCAATTATTAAGACAGGAACAGGCCTCAATAAGACAGTGCTGCAATTACAAACAAGTCCCTGAAGCACAAACACAGTGTGTGTGTGTGTGAGTATGTGTGTGTGTGTGTGTGTGTGTGTGTGTGTGAGAGAGAGAGAGCGTGTATATGTGTGTGTGTGTGTGTGTGTGTGTGTGTGCGTGTGTATGCAGCAGTGAGTAAGAGACATCATCCTCACGTTACCTGCTGCCCCAGATGGAGGGATGTGATGAATGTGCTGATATTTGGAGCAGTGACACACAAGGATACCCCCCCACCCCCCGACCACCACAGCACACACACACACACACACACACACACATCAAACCATGCAGAAAAATCACACCTTCCTTCAACTTCCCCCGAGGATTTAGTTCCCTGATGAGGATTCTTCTAATGAACTTATTGAATTTTCATCAAAAGAACTGTGCTAATACTGAACTAAGGGAAGAAAACAGGCCAAATCTGACCTCCAACACTCTCAAACTGACTTTTTCCACCCATTGCGAGGCGCTACGTGCAGCCTAGATATCGCTCTTCCCTACTTGTAACATATGGAACAGCCCGAGGGGAAGTGAAGGGGACTAAAGGGGTCGTTCTGCCAAAATGGAACTGGGCCATTGTTAAAGTGCTGCCTTCACCAAGCCCGGGCCGCCTCGTGGAACAACTTACAGTCTTCATCTTTCAACACCAGCTTCTCCGCGGGATGTCGGGTTGGATGGATGAGATGGAGACAGAGGACAACATTAGACATGTGATAACACACACACAGAGACACACACATGGGATCATCAGACCGGACAACAACGCGCTGCGCTCTGACTCCAAACAACAGCACCGACGCTTAAAAATACTTAACCTGAGATCTGTCAAGCACTTCTCTAATTGGTATCCTGGTATTCTATCGTCTATTAAACACTTTTTGTCACAGGAGTCAAATTGATGTGAAAAGTATGTAATTGCCTATTAGACTAATTAGCACAGTGCCTCGTTTAGCTTCTCTGACCTTATTACCATTTCTTGCAGCCACCAGGAGTCACGCAGAACAAAAGCGGACGGTGCTACGCTATGAATTCCTCTCAGGCGTCTCACAGCGGATTATTTGTGCTCGTATGTTTTTGTGAATTGCAACCGGTTCACACACATTCTCTAACTGCACACACATCAGCTGGATCATCACTCGTGTTCACAAGAGCCTGGAAGTAAACAGCCATCATCCATTCAGCGCTGCTCTGTTAGTGGGTGCTTGATATCTGCAGATGACGACAGACACACATATATAAAGTATTTCTGTTCATCATAAAGAAACAAAACCTCATCTCAGAGTGTAGAGCCACTAGACGTTGGACGATATGAAGGTTTCAATTATTTCAGACAAAATAATTGTGATACCCTTAATACTTAAAATGGCACTAAAATCACTTTACCTTACATTTTTGTCAGACACATATATATTTATTGCGTCACACCTCATCTCCCTGCTCTATTCATTTCCACACACCCACTTTAACTTTTATAACGTTTCATCTTCATCTGATGTGTGACCAGAACAGATTCTTACATTCAATCCAGTTTTTTAACACATTCTCTTCAAAATGAATCAAAGTTAAATTTGACACCAAACTGTGTTGGACCGCCACCTTTAACCCATCCCTCTCGGCCCACTCAAGGACACACAATGCTAACATGCTGACGGTAAGCAGTTTATATTTCGTATTGTAGTTTAGTTTGCTAGCATGCTAACCAGGG